TCTCTTTTGTCGTAAATTTTCGTATGGAGTTTTCCTTTAGAGATTGAAATGTCCAAATTTAGAAAAGGACAACTACTGCTGTTTATGTTAGATTTAGTTAAAGTAAGTTCTATTGGGTAAATTTCGGTAGTATATTTAGAGAGCTCTGGATTATTTAACGAAAAAATATCATCTAGATAACGGAAGGTATTGTTGAATGTGTCAACCAAATGTAACAATGAAGTGTCTTTACTGAGTTTGGTCATGCACTGAGATTCATAGCAATACAGGAATAAATCTGTTATTAAAGGAGCACAGTTAGTGCCCATAGGAATACCTACTACTTGTCGATACACTTTATCGCCGAAACATATATATATGTTGTCCAGGAGAAAATTTAAAGCTTCAATCATATCTTCACATTTCCAGTAAGTGTATCTAGCATACTTTCCTTTTTCGTTACAGAAAAAGGCTTTAAACGAGTTACAGCAAATAAATTTGTAATGAGATTTTTCAAAAGACCATTTAATTAAATATGAAAACTTTTTCTTGATAAAATTGTGTGGAAGTGTAGTATAGAGAGGAGAAAAATCATAACTGTCAACAGAATTAAAAGGACCACCAAAAGCATGTATTTAATCTAAAACCTCTTAAAGAATTTTTAACACTCCAAAAATAATTAATACCATTATTTTCATAACCTTTATTACAAAAGTTAATAACAAGTTCTTTGATAGTAGTAAGGGAGGTAGTTAGAAGCACTGATAGATTGGTAGTAGAACACTTACTAGATGCGGAGATGAAACGGAATTTAAATGGTTTTTTGTGCAATTTAGGTAACCAGTACATAGTAGGGACTTTCAAATGTTCGGAATAGGCTTTAAGCTGGGTAGTGGCAGTGATATGCTTGTTTACAATTTCACTCTCTGTGGAGCGTACAGACCTGAATGTAGATGAATTTGTAATTTCGTTTTGGAGAACTTCCGTGTAGTATATGCGTCACACCACCACTACATTATTTGCTGCTTTGTCTGCCGGTACGAACACAAACCGCTTTGCGAGTACTTGGAGTTTATTTTTTATTCTAGAAATGGGAATATCATGGACCCTATTACTAATTTCAAAATTGTTTTCAAAATGAGATATACAAATATTAACAGTATTCATAATTTTATTCAAATAACTGTCTAGAGATTTTTTATCAGATTTTTCACGTTTACACCAATTTTTACAGTAGACAGACAGAGTGTCTTTAATGACCTGACGACACTGTTTCCAATCTATTTTAGATGGAGGACGATATTTCGGTCCTTTCTTAAGAAAAGTTATGACCTCACGGTCTTCGACTATGTTGAGGTCTCCTGTAAGAACTTGACCATAGGGAAAATATCTAAAACTAGATGTTTCACAGTCTCAAGTGGAAGGAACATTATTTTCTATATTGACGTCTGATGTAACTGACGTATAATTAAAAATCAAACTTCTGCTGGTTTTTTTTATAAGAATACGAAATAATAGGTGGTTCTATATTATCAAAATATGGAGGTATTTGGCTTTGGATGGTAGAGTCATTGAATATACTAGATAAGTTAATAAAATCAATACCTCTATTTATATATTTTAATTTAAGAAAATGCCTTTTATGATTTTCAGGTTTATCGATACTAGGAAATAGCCTATGATGACAAAAGGCTGTAATAATACGGGTGTATTTATACTTTTATAAATTTTGACTTGGATGGAGAGTTGTCTCATTGGCACTCATACCACATCTTCTTATATCTATTGGGCTAAAAAAAGAAATTTTATCACACTCCAGAAAAATAGCATATAATTTACTTATTGGTATCTGACCCAGTTTGCATAATACTTGATGTCTGCCATTATTTTTTATTATAGATAACAGATCAGCAAGTGTATAATTTATACGATGTTTAATACGTTGATTACGGTTTTTGCGTTTGACATGAGACCTTTTATTTCTAAGTCGTTTATCGACAATATTAATGACATCGATATTGAAGTTTTAGTTATGTTCCCCTGTCCTAATATTTTGTCATTAAGACCGAGAGGATAAGCTGTTTGAAGTCTTTTTATCCAAAATAATTCGCAAACTTTACGTGATTTTTCAAATTGTTTGTGTGATTCTCCTGGTTGTTTCTGAACGGTTTCAAGTGGTTGGAAATTTATAAATTTTAAGATTGTGATTATGCTTATCTAAATGTTGATATATCAAACTTTTGAATTTTTTAGGTCTACGAAAGCGGTAAAGGTGTTCTTGATTTCTTTTGTAATACGCTCGCCCCGTCTGTCCCACATATTGAATACCACACTTAGGTTGGGTTCAAGTTACCACATATATAAGGTTTTGAGTTTTTCAGGCAATGTCACAGGAAAAGGAGAGCGAAAAAGCTCTCCCGTTCACTGTTGACCATACAATATTTTGTGAAGTTAATCTAAAACAGATTAGTCACTTTTTGGCATTGCATGGGACAATTTGTGCATATCCACGTGCATTTTTGTTAAACAATCTGGCTGTAGAGGCATTACAAATACGTTTGTTTAAGCACGTTGATATCCTAGAAGTTGTGTTGTTAATAATTTTCTTTCCATTACGTAAAATATTTTAGAAAAGTGTCTACAGAAAATGAAGAAAAATATTAAAAAGGCATTTTCACCTTTGATAGATGCTGATGTAATTCTTTTAATTCTATATTGAATACCTCAGCATTTGGATGTTGGCTTCCAATTATTTTGAGATTCTGGCATCCCATCACATCATTATTTTCGCTCAAATATCCGATGCCCACTAAAATGTGGGTGATTTCATACAACAAAGGAGCAGTGAAGCTATTTCACACTAGATTTAAAAAGTCTTTCAATCTTTTCTAAAATTCATAGTATCACAGCACCGTATGTACCTTTTTATTGCTCTAACAATAGTATAATTGATTATTTTAAATAAATCAACAAATTATGAACCCTGGAAAAAGCCTGAAACCTCAATTTTTAGTTTTTGACAAAATTGATATTGAGTATTTATCCTAAAAAAATATATGAAAAAGACAACGTTAACCAAACAAAAAATGTTGGACTGAGTAAAGATGTGTATGTTTTCAAAATACCCTCAATAGCAACATGTAAGAATTTTTTTTTATACTTAAGTATGGTTTTGGCTATACTCAAATATTTAAGAATATTCTTAACTTTGAGTAAAAAAATATCTGAGAATTTGTTTATGGCAGTGTATTTAGCTGAGAATAAAAAAATTGAGAAAATTCTCAGGCTGAGCAAAAAAAAATTACTCAAATAATTTTATGGTGCCGGGGCCTGATGAAGGTAAATCCAGAAAAGCGCATGAAATTTATAACGTGTTTTCAATTTTTTTTCAAAAATTACCTTTAAGAAAACTTTTAAGCTATATACATTTTGACTAATTTGTCAAGGCTCTTGTGTTGGAAAAAACCCCTGTAGGATGAGTTATTTACAAAATCAGCTACCATCCATCAAGAAGGCTGCGGAAAAATGACCCAAGTTTTACCTCCAAAACATCTGAAACCTGACCTAATATTGCAGTCATAAACAAGACTGTAGTAGTAACAATGGATCATTATAAATAAGAAATGTACTGTCAAATTGACAGCAAACCAGGTTTTTTGTATTTTGAAGGTAACCATTGTTTAACCCTTTAACGACACTATTGGTCAATTTGACCGATAAGCCAAATTTTTGGACAACTAGTTTGCATGAAGTCTTGTATCGTTGACATTTTTTGACGTACAGATGTGGTTGAGGGTGCAAATTAATACTCGGAATACCAGCAACATGATTTATTGTGCCTGAAACTAGTATCATTCAATGTGTTATGTCAATTGGCCTTTATTGACAAGAATATTTTTTGAGAATACTGTTTTTATTTTTAGATAAGATTATTTTCACAGAATATTATAAAATAAATCAGTAGTTTAAAAAACCTGACTATTTTTTATAACTGTGCCGTGTTCTTTTACAAGAATACTATTAAAACCTGTACATATATAAAATGTTTGGTTCATAGAGTGTCACCATTAAGACAAACTCAAAATTCATGTTTCTCTTTGTCAGTTTTTTGGCAAAAAAGATGAAAACATTAAATGTCCTGAAAATTGTCAGCCGAGTCGGAGTAGCAGTAACAAAACTTTTTTTTTTAATGCTTGACTATGAGGACGTTGGACACCATATCGCTTAAATGAAGAAATAACTACATATCAATGAAAAATACGAACATTTCTGAATTATTTTCTCATATATTTGCTTGAAAATAAAGGGATTTGCAAAACCAGCTTCCTTAGAGAAAAGAAGTTGGAAGTTTTTCAAATTTTGTTTTCACTTCTTCCAGAGAAGTGGACTAAAATTTCATGACTTTTCCTATGGTTTCTGTGGCTCAGTGGTAAGATGAACAATCTGACACCAAAAAGATTGCGTGTTCAAACCTCATTGCTGGGGGTGAAACAAATAATTTCCTTAATTAAATGTAACTTAATAAAGTGCCATTTTCCAACCTATTGAGGACATTAACTCCTGAACAGAAAAAGTGAAAATTGTCAATACCAAACTTGACCTCCATTTTGTTACCCGCACTGGTTGATCGGTTCACAAGTTATTGCACAGAAATGACATGTAGTGCCATTTTCTAATCGATTCAGGACATATCACCTGAGCTGTAAAAGTGAAAATCATCAATATCGAACTTGACCTCCATCTAGACATTAGTAACTGCATATCAAAAATTGATAAACACTGGCTGAACAGTTATGGAAAATAGTGACAGCAGCCTGCCCGCCTTCCATACTACACCAATTTAATAATCAGATTTTTCCTTAAATCCCTGTTAAAAATTAGACCTGATTTAAAAGGCCTACTTCTATGACCAATTACTGGTATCAAGACCTAAACCAATCAGCCTCATCATATGCTTACCCCACAGCTATTACTATTTGATTTCAAAGGCACTAGTGGTTTATAAAAATAAAATAGATAAATCAAACTGTGTACAAGTTTATTTAGACATTACTTGGTCAATAGAAGAGTGAAAGCACTGTAAAATACAAAAGGTTTTACTAACAAAAAAAACAAAACTGTGTATTGTCAGACTTGACCAGACTGATATTTTATTTCAAATAAAATAAATGTTAAATCTTTTACTGTGGTATTTATGAACCACATGTGGTTATCGCCATACTTTTGTCAAAAAGTTATGGTGTAACAAAGGTATTTATGTGTGTACAAAATGATGTACAGATATAACCATCATATTTGTATGTAAACAGATTTCTAATCAGAACATAAGATTATCACCTTTTTCTTGTGTCGATAGATTAAATCATTATCTCTTCATTGTTGTTGCCAAGCTTTAACAATAATAAGTTAGCTCTTTTCAGTGGAAGATACCACCAACTCTAATCCAACAAAGGATGGCTTCATAGAATGTGATGCTAAAATGCCTTTTACAATGACAACTTTAATAACTGTCCAAGGCCTAAGAACAGAATTAATACTACAAAAAACAGGTTTTTATCAACTTGTGTTTTAATGAAATACATAGAGCCTTCACTACTGGACAAGTCTGACAATTATTGCAAACTTTTACTTGCAAGGAAAAAAACCATTAAAATTGTAATACAAACACATCCATACATCATAAATTATCATTCATAACTTCTTCAACATTTATACATTATACAAAACCAATATTGATAAAAATATCATAGCTTTTACCCCCGTCATTCAATTATAAAGAATAGATATATAATTAATAGTGAAATACAAATATAGGATTTATTCTGAAATTTTTATAAGGTTCAGCAATCAATAAAATAGTTTGTGCCATGAAATTTACATTGTTCCATTCCAAAGCAAGCAATGTTTATACATAATTTTTCAATATTAATCTTAATTAAGTACACAAATAAGGTGTAAACTAAGTTGGAATTTTTGTTTATACATTTTTATATTGTGTGCCCTGCTTTTAACAGTAAACAGAAAGATAAATTGTTGTTCTTCCAATAAGTATCTAAATAAAAATAAAATGCTTCGCTGGGGCGCAGCTTGATACGACCGCAGAGGTCGAACCCTGAACAGTTGGGGCAAGTATGGACACAACATTCAAGCTTGATACAGCTCTGAATTTGGATTGTTATTAAATATTTGACACAGCATAGGTTTCTGACACAGAAAGAATGTGGTCTAAGAACTTGAATTTTTTTAATTTACCTATTATGGTCCAATGTCCAAAATCAAAACACATGGTTAGATTCAGCATATCAAAGAACCCCATATATTCAATTTTTGTTAAAATCAAACAAAGTTTAATTTTGGACCCCAACTTGGACAAACTTGAAAACTGGGCCCATAATCAAAAATCTAAACACATGTTTAGATTCAGCATATCAAAGAACCCCAAGAATTCAATTTTTGCTAAAATCAAACTAAGTTTAATTTTGGACCCTTTGGACCTTAATGTAGACCAATTTAAAAAACGGGACTTAAAATTAAAAATCTAAATACACGGTTAGATTTGGAATATCAAAGAACCCCAATAATTCAATTTTTGATGAAATCAAACAAAGTTTAATTTTGGACCCTTTTGACCTCAATATGAACCAATTTGATAGCGGGGCCCACAAATAAAAACTCTAAATTCATGGTTAGATTCAGCATATCAAAGAACCCCATATATTCAATTTTTGTTGAAATCAAAAAAAGTTTAATTTTGGACCCCAACTTGGACCAACTTGAAAACTGGGCCCATAATCAAAAATCTAAAAACATGGTTAGATTCAGCATATCAAAGAACCCCAAGAATTCAATTTTCGATGAAATCAAACAAAGTTTAATTTTGGACCCTTTTGACCTCAATATGAACCAATTAGATAACGGGGTCCACAAATAAAAAATCTAAATACATGGTTAGATTCAGCATATCAAAGAACCCCATATATTCAATTTTTGTTGAAATCAAACAAAGTTTAATTTTGGACCCCAATTTGGACCAACTTGAAAACTGGGCCAAAAATCAAAAATCTAAATACATGTTTAGATTCAGCATATCAAAGAACCTCATATATTCAATTTTTGCTAAAATCAAACAAAGTTTAATTTTGGACCCTTTGGACATTAATGTAGACCAATTTGAAAACTGGACCCAAAATTAAAAATCTAAATACACTGTTAGATTCGGCATAACAAATAAATAAATGTGATCAAAGATTTTACAAATCTAATGCGCCCATACTGTGCAATTAAAGATTACTTCTTGAAATTTTTCAATATTTGAAATTTGAAAAAAAAATAATATTTGAAGAATAATTCTTTTTAATTTCTGAAATCTGAAATGAGAAAAAATTGGCCCCCCACAATTTCTTTTTATCCCCCCCCCCTTTTTCCCCCAAAAAAATTCTTTCCCTCAAGATATGGTCATAATCTCAATTCAAATTTCCAATGGAGTTGGCAACCATAATTACCCATTTAAATTTACCATAGTGCTAACTTAATCTATTTTATAATAGAAATAATAAAAATATAGTGTCAAATCTTTCATATGGATTTTTTTGTAAAAAAAAAAGATGAAAACATTTGCAGATATTTTTACTGGTCTTCCTTTATAAATATGCATTTCTTTAAACATAATTTAAAAGCAGTGTAAGGGAAGTAACCAAAACGTTGTATTTGGATTACCTCCCTTACACTGTTTTAGATTATCTTTATTGTTCATTAACCATTACTTTATACATAATTTAAAAGCAGTGTAAGGGAGATAATTTCAATGATGTATTTGATTTATCTCCCTTACACTGCTTTAAATTATGTTTTGTACTAAAGTATTTGTCCATTAACCAGGACAACCTTGTTTTTCCCCCTTTTTTGCCCCTAATTCCTAAACGGTTTGAGCCATAACCCCCCAAAGCAAATCCTAACCATCCCTTTGTGGTATGGAAACTTGTAGTATAATTTCAGAGAGATCCATACACCGTTCCACAGTTATTGTCTGGAAACTAGAAAATGCTCATTTTTGGCCCCTAATTCCTTAACTGTTGGTACCATAACCCCCAAAATCAATCCCAACCTTCCTTTTGTGGTATTTAACCTTATGGTCAAATTTCAAAAAGATCCATTCACTTAAACTAAAGTTAGAGTGCGAAAACCAATATGTATTCGGACGACGACGCCGGACGACGACGACGACGACGACGCCAACGTCATACCAATATACGACCACAAAATTTTTTTGCGGTCGTATAAAAATATTCCAACTTTATATCATAGTTTACTGTGGTATAAAAACAGGACAGCATAAGTTTGGAATTTATACAGCTTATTACAATCAACTGGATTTTTTGGGTCTATAAAGCTGTAGACTTCAATCTTGTGCACTGAACTATGACAGAAAAAAGTTATTGATTTCTCTACTGGTGGATGGCCTTGGCAAAGCCTATTTTTGAATCATTATAACTAAATATTTCAAGGTTTATTTATAAATTCACAGACCAAAAACTTCTTCCTTGAGGAATTTCTATATTCATTTTGTTTTTCAAAGGTATATATCTAATCTTTGCCAAAAAAGGAAACTGAATTGTAATTTTACTCTACTGTTTGAAATAATTCTTTTTTTTTAAATTATTTTTAAAGAGACGTGGAAATATGGACACATCATTATGTATAAATGTATTAACACCTTAACATTCCTTTTTCTATTTACACTGAGGCATCTTATATGAAACAGGAATTTTACATATATACTTGTACAGCATTAGTTAATTAAAACATACACTATTGGCAAACAAACAGGTAATTTCTATAAACAATACACATGGCAGACCTCTAAATAGAGAATAATAGCTGAATAAGAAATCTATTCATACTTTTTCTCAGTTAAATGAATCAATTTGACATCTAAATAACTTATTGCTGATGCCATTACTATGCTAACAAACTATAGATCAACAGAAAATGGTAATGTTTATGTATTATATTACAATATCTTGTTGAAAATACATATCCTTCAAATATACTGGAGGCACCAAAATCCATTAAACTGTGACATAGCATACAAAGATGCATAACGCTAGCTATTTTCTCCCCTCAACATGCTAAATACACATTTAAATTTACAATATGAATGTAACCATTATACTACGGTTAGTGGTTTTAATGGTTTATATCTTATTTAAAGTTTAGCACTTTCATGTACATGGTTTAAAATAGTAAATAAAATGTCAATGCAAAATCTAGGCTGTTTTAATACCAGTATATATTTTCAGTATATATGTATGTAGAGCTATAAATTGTATGTCTGAATAAAAATTTGTCACATATGTTCTGCTATCAACACTGAAGATAGCTCTACTTTCTGTTCATTTCATATTATTCGTAGCAGGTTGCATATACATAGCTAAGAATTTCATGTCATTTATAGTGTCTTTATACCATAATATTTATAATAGATAGTAATTCAATCTAACTATTCCATTTATGTAAACAACAGATTGTATATATACCCGTTTGATTTCCATGACATATTCTATCTGAACATTGGCTAAAATAAATGTTGTGAACTTTTCAAAATATCCAAGCAATAATGTAAATATACCAATTTGTCAGAAAAAGCTGTCAACTCATATATAATTTCGTCTATATCCTAATAAGTTTTACAAAATCTATGACTATTAAACATGGTTGGTAACATTAAGACAAATTTCCCCTTGCATTATATTTTTGGTTACACTGTTTTCATGTTTACTCTCGTCTTTGAAAAAGTAAGAAAAAAGTAAATCTGAATGATCTTAGATGACTGTCTTGAAACAACAAATACAAAAGTTCTTTATCACATCAGCTTGTAGATTCTACTTCCTGCCTGTCATATAACTGACAGTTGTGGAAAATTAAGTTTTAAGATAACATTATGTTTCCATCTGTTCACACTGACCATTCATTGTGGTAGAACTTGACTTAGAATGAGGCTGACACTGAGTCTGTTTCTGATACACTACTACATAAGCTGCCTTTGACTAAAACAAGTAAATTTAAAAAATAGAATAAGCAAATATGTGGTAAACTTCAAAAAGTTCTTTAACATTAATTTACTAATAGAAAAAAGTTCTAAAATAAAGAATTGGCAATATAAGTAAATCATCTAACAAATATAATCATTCAGATATCAATTATTCTGTGTTTTAATTTATTAATAGTTTGTTCATGGCATGGCACAGGATCATCCTCCTTTACTGTTTATGATATTGCTGTATGAAACTAACTGATATTATAGTGTAGGATAGTATAACTTCATATTAACAGGTTAAGTACAATGAGCTTGCTATTGGTAACTGCCAGCATTATTTGATATGGAATAATCTTGATTTATTTTCTTTTGTACCCATGTCTTTGTTACAATTTGTACTGCTATTTTACGGTTAGTTGCTTTTCTTGTTCTGATTTGGGTTTGTTCTTTTATCCACTTTCTGTTAGTCCACTGATAAAGATTAAAAAGTGGAGGGTTGAAGTATTGAAATAAGAATTAAACCACACCAAATAGCCTTAAAAATTCAGATTTACCTGACTTCTATTTTTTTTGTCAGTCTAACCTTGCTTAAAGCAACTCAAAGGATTAACATGAAGGTGGTACTTACAACAGCATCATCTTCTGATGACGAGGACACACTAGAATCATCAAAGTAATACCATTCACTGTTTTCTTTGTTCTTACCATAAGCTGTGTCTGTAATATTTAAATCTAAACTACAGTTTTATTATAATGGTTATTATATACAAATGGTCAGATAAGCAGATTTGAGCTCTGACATTAAATTCTGCATGAAACATTCAAGCAGAATAGATTTCTTAAAAGAATATATTAAAAAGCTGTTTTTTTGGTTGTTAACATTTGTAGTAAGCAGGTTGCAGCTCTATCATTAAATTCTGCACGAAACATTCAAGAATAGATTTGTTGCAAATATATATTTAAGCTGTCACCTTTTTTTGTATTGCCTTTGGTTTGCTATCTCACTGATATAAACTATATATGACAATTCATCCTATCTTTTCATAATAAAATGCTCCGCAGGGCGCAGCTTGTTACGACCGCAGAGGTCGAACCCTGAACAGTTGGGGCAAGTATGGACACAACATTCAAGCTTGATACAGCTCTGAATTTGGATTGTGATTAAATATTTGACACAGCATAGGTTTCTGACACAGAATGAATGTGGTCTAAGAACTTAAAAATTTAAAATTGGACATTCACCTATTATGGTCCAATATCCAAAATCTAAATACATGGTTAGATTCAGCATATCAAAGAACCCCAAGAATTCAATTTTTGATGAAATCAAACAAAGTTTAATTTTGGACCCTTTGGACCTCAATGTGGACCAATTTAAAAACGGGGCCCAAAATCCAAAAACCTTAATACACGGTTAGATTCAGCATATTAAAGAACCCCAAAAATTCAAGAATAAAACCCCATTGAAAATGGTCAAGAAATAAGCAATTTATACGAAGTATCTTCTTTTGCACAATACTGTGCGATTGAATATTTCTTGCGATTGAATATTTCTTGCTATTGCGCAATATTGCACAATTGACAATTTCTTGCTTTTGCGCAATATTGTGCTATTGGATATTTCTTGCTATTGCGCAATACTGTGCAATTGAAGATTTCTTGCTATTGCGCAATACTGTGCAATTGAAGATTTCTTGCTATTGTGCAATACTGTGCAATTGAAAATTTCTTGCTATTGCACAATACTTATTATATAATAATTTACACATCATGTTTGGTGTGTATCTCCTACCATATCATTATTATTTGCTTTTAAATATAAATCAGAAATAACCAACTTAAAATTGAAAATTTTAAAAGAAAAAAAAAGGAAAACCCCCCCCCCCCCCCCCCCCAAATTTGTTGAACCCCCTTATGATTCATCACCCCCAAACTCAATCCCAGCCTTCCCTTTGTGGTATGGTACCTTGCAGTACAATTTCAGAGAGATCCATACACTTGAACACAAGTTATTGTCTGGAAACTAGAAAAATGCTTATTTTTGGCCCCATTTTGGCCCCTTATTCCTAAACGTTTCGGGCAATTACCCCCAAACTCAATTCCAGCTTTCCCTTTGTGATATGGAACCTTGTAGTACAATTTCAGAAAGATCCATACACTAACACACAAGTTATTGTCATGAAACTGAAAAATGCTTGTTTTTTGCCCCTTTTTTGGCCCCTAATTCCTAATATTTTGAGGCAATTACCCCCAAAATCAATCCCAGCATTCCCTTTGTGATATGGAACCTTGTGGTACAATGTCAGAGAGATCCATACACTAACACACAAGTTATGTCTGGAAGTTACAAAAATGCTTATTTTTGGCCCCTTTTTGGCCCCTAATTCCTTAACTGTTGGTACCATAACCCCCAAAATCAATCCCAACCTTCCTTTTGTGGTATTGAACCTTATGGTAAAATTTCATAGAGATCCATTCACTTAAACTAAAGTTAGAGTGCGAAAACCAATGTGTCTTCGGACGACGACGACGCCAACGTCATACCAATATACGACCGCAAAATTTTTTGCGGTCGTATAAAAACTCCATACCTCAATAATGCTTATCTTTCAAATGACAAAGCTACCATCTAAAACTACAGAATAAGGAAGCCTTACAACAGATATGATAAATGATAGTTGTGTTACTTGCTTATTGTCTGATATAACAATCTTATGCAAGGGTTGAACTTTTGATTCTGTTGTATTCAATTCAAGATTTAAATTTAACAATTGATGTGGGAAATTTAGATCATAAATGCTCCACTAGCATTTACTGATATTTTTTTCCTGTATTTTTGAATGATATAAGAACACATATGCACTGAAATTTCTAATGAGATATAAACATACAGAAAGAAATATTAATAAATATAACACCACAGTAAATAAGATTTGCTAGGTTTATTTCTGAACTTACAATGTCCCCCTCCAAGGCCTCCATAATGGTTCGATACAGCTATCAGGTCATAATTAGCAGCTCCATGGTTGTTGTTTATCATATATTTGTTCATGTTTAGTCCTCTGAAAAATAAACAGTTCATTTACTTTAATTTTCATAAGATCTGCAAATGTTTAGTAAAAACCGGTGTCATATATTAGTTGTATCAAGACTTCTTATTCAAGTATTCAAGACTTGTAATTGCACCATATTTTTCAAAATATAAAGAAAATCAAAGCAGGAATGCCCTTAAAAGGCACTTTCTATAAAATAAATAGTTAATTAATAGGGAATGACACAGATGATGCCCCCGCTTGCATATCATATAAATTTATAAAGGGACATAACTGAAGAATGGTAAAAGTGATGCTACCCAAATTTGTACTTGATCTCAGTTTTGTAGTAATAAGTATTATGTATAAGTTTCATAACATTTGGTTGAGGCTAACTTAAGTTAGAGAACGGAAAATTTGTAAAGGGGTGTAACTCTAGAACAGTAAAAGTGACACAACCAAAATTTAAACTTGATCTGTATTTTGTGTTAATAAGCATTGTGTATAAGTTTCATAACATTTGGTTGAGGCTAACTTAAGTTAGAGAACTGAAACGAAAAATTCAGCAATTTTACCATTTGTAAAGGGGCATAACTCTAGAACGGTTACAGTGACACCACCAAAATTCAAACTTGATCTGTATTTTGTGGTAATAAGCATTGTGTATAAGTTTCATAACATTTGGTTGAGGCAAACTAAAGTTAGAGAACGGAAACGAAACATTTAGCAATTTTTCCATTTGTAAAGGGCATAACTCTAGAACGGTTAAAGTGACGCCACCAAAATTCAAACTTGATCTGTGTATTGTGGTAATAAGCATTTTATATAAGTTTCATAACATTTGGTTGAGGCAAACTACAGTTAGAGAATGGAAACCAACTTTGGGACGTACGTACGTACGGACAAGGGTAAAACTTAATGGTACAATACCTTAAACTATAACATTAACCTTATAGGGGACAGACAGACAGTGCATAAAACCATAAAACAACAATGCCCCCTACAATCATAGGCAGGGGGTAATAACCATTAATACATATTGTAAACAATATGTTGACTCATTAATACTCCAATTAGATGTTTTTGAGAGTTTAATAGGCATTCATTTTACATGTAATTGAATAGTCAACAAGATAAGATATTTAGAGACATTTAAGCTGTTAGTTACCTTGGAGGACATTCCACCATTACATCTATTTTGTCTCGGAAGTATCGGTTGTAGGAAAATCTCTTCAGGTGAATGATTAGAACATCTGGTAAAGACCATAAGTCAAATTTCTTGGTTGCTTGTTGATGTTTCTTACACTTGGGACAATACCTAAAACACATCAAAAACATTGTCATTGTAAAAAAAATTTGAATGCTTCGAATCCACTTTATATTTTGTTTTAAACTGTATTTTCATGGATATTTGATTTTGTGGTTTTACAAAAGTTTGCATCCAAGTCTATAGATAATGTTCACTTCATTGAACATTTAAATTTTTGTTTTACCTGTATGCAAGAAATCCACAACCATTGGTATCCAACGAATACTAATGAATCCGCAGTATCTCATTAAATGATTTTAGTTTTCTGGAGATGAAAAACTAGTGTTCTCTTATTTGTAGATTTACCATAAAAGTTGGTACTTTTCCTGTCAACTTTAAATGAGTTTAATTTTCCTTAATCCACGAAAATTGATATCAACGAGAATAAATAATAAAATGCTCCACCGGGCAAATTTTGCGATTGTAAACAAAAATTTCAAGTTCCATATTTCAGTATTAACATACCATAAATCATTTTCCCCTAGTTGTTCCTCTTTGGTAAACAAATCCAAACAATCTCCAAGTTGAATAACTTGTTTCTTCTGAGGTTTGTGATTAATACTTTCATCTTGTTCAAAGTCCTAAATATAATATGAAAAAAATTACTTATTGGTAAGACAATAGTCATTGATAAAACTTTTTATACATTTATAGCAAGTGACATTCCCATGCCTGAAAATAAACAATCAAAATCTGTCTGCTCATTTAAGAAATTTAAGAAATATTGGATCTGTTGGAAATTTTAGACAAACTTTTGAAAGGCCATGAAGAAGTTAGTTTGGTGTCAGAATGAAACATCTGTAGAAAAGTAGTCAAACTTAAAAAGTTCTGGAATACATCACAAAAGTTGTTACGGTGTGTTAATTTGACTTGATGGAATCAAAACTATATTAAATTTACTTTTTTTCCTGTTCACTTTGTACAAAAAGTATATTTTCTTATCCTGTTTCAGTTAAGCAGGTGCTAGGTTTAAAATTGTGGCTTCCACATTAACACTCAAATGCTAAGTTTAATTTCTTACCTCAATCAGCAAACTTATAAGTAGAAATGCATTTAATTTTTATTTAAATAAAGACATCTAGGTTGAGTTTACCTTATTGAACCAATTTTTTTCACCTTGGGAAAAACATAGAAGAAATCTTAAACTTATTTACAAAAAAAGATTAAAAGAATAAGATTAAAAGGGGAGTCACCTTAGACGATTTAATTTTATTCAGTTCAAGAGATTGTCCTTATTCTCAGAGAAGACTAGAGTGATCTACTTTTAAAAATATAATGTTACGTAGCAAGAAAACAGAACAGTTCAGAACTTTTTTTCCCACAAAATATTAAAAAGATTTGTAAGAGGTTCCACGTAACCCTGTGTCTCACCTGTGATTACTGCTGTCAGTGTAAAAGTGTAATGTTGACTTAAAAAGTGAGTCCATTTATCAGTAAAATACAGAATTTAACAAAAATTACTGTAAAAAAAATAAAATGCTTCGCTGGGCGCAGCTTGATACGACCGCAGAGGTCGAACCCTGAACAGTTGGGGCAAGTATGGACACAACATTCAAGCTTGATACAGCTCTGAATTTGGATTGTGATTAAATATTTGACACAGCATAGGTTTCTGACACAGAAAGAATGTGGTCTAAGAACTTCAATTTTTTTAATTTACCTATTATGGTCCAATGTCCAAAATCAAAATACATGGTTAGATTCAGCATATCAAAGAACCCCATATATTCAATTTTTGTTGAAATCAAACAAAGTTTAATTTTGGACCCCAACTTGGACAAACTTGAAAACTGGTCCCATAATCAAAAATCTAAACACATGTTTAGATTCAGCATATCAATGTACCCTAAGAATTCAATTTTTGTTAAAATCAAACTAAGTTTAATTTTGGACCCTTTGGACCTTAATGTAGACCAATTAAAAAAAAAACGGGACCCAAAATTAAAAATCTAAAAACATGGTTAGATTTGGCATATCAAAGAACCCCAATAATTCAATTTTTGATGAAATCAAACAAAGTTTAATTTTGGACCCTTTTGACCTAAATATGAACCAATTTGATAGCGGGCCCACAAATAAAAAATCTAAATACATGGTAAGATTCAGCATATCAAAGAACCCCATATATTCAATTTTTGTTGAAATCAAACAAAGTTTAATTTTGGACCCCAATTTGGACCAACTTGAAAACTGGGCCAAAAATCTAAATACATGTTTAGATTCAGCATATCAAAGAACCCCATATATTCAATTTTTGTTGAAATCAAACAAAGTTTAATTTTGGACCCCAACTTGGACCAACTTGAAAACTGGTCCCATAATCAAAAATCTAAACACATGTTTAGATTCAGCATATCTAAACCCCAAAAATTCAATTTTTGTTAAAATCAAACTAAGTTTAATTTTGGACCCTTTGGACCTTAATGTAGACCAATTCAAAAAACGGGACCCAAAATTAAAAATCTAAATACACAGTTAGATTTGGCATATCAAAGAACCCCAATAATTCAATTTTTGATGAAATCAAACAAAGTTTAATTTTGGACCCTTTTGACCTAAATATGAACCAATTTGATAGCGGGCCCACAAATAAAAAATCTAAATACATGGTAAGATTCAGCATATCAAAGAACCCCATATATTCAATTTTTGTTGAAATCAAACAAAGTTTAATTTTGGACCCCAATTTGGACCAACTTGAAAACTGGGCCAAAAATCTAAAATCTAAATACATGTTTAGATTCAGCATATCAAAGAACCCCATATATTCAATTTTTGTTGAAATCAAACAAAGTTTAATTTTGGACCCCAACTTGGACCAACTTGAAAACTGGGCCCATAATCAAAAATCTAAACACATGTTTAGATTCAGCATATCAAATAACCCCAAGAATTCAATTTTTGTTAAAATCAAACTAAGTTTAATTTTGGACCCTTTGGACCTTAATGTAGACCAATTTAAAAAACAGGACCCAAAATTAAAAATCTAAATACACGGTTAGATTTGGCATATCAAAGAACCCCAATAATTCAATTTTTGATGAAATCAAACAAAGTTTAATTTTGGACCCTTTTGACCTCAATATGAACCAATTTGATAGCGGGGTCCACAAATAAAAAATCTAAATACATGGTTAGGTGCAGCATATCAAAGAACCCCATATATTCAATTTTTGTTGAAATCAAACAAAGTTTAATTTTGGACCCCAATTTGGACCAACTTGAAAACTGGGCCAAAAATCAAAAATCTAAATACATATTTAGATTCAGCATATCAAAGAACCCCATATATTCAATTTTTGTTAAAATCAAACAAAGTTTAATTTTGGACCCTTTGGACCTTAATGTAGACCAATTTGAAAACTGGACCCAAAATTAAAAATCTAAATACACGGTTAGATTCGGAATAACAAATAAATAAATGTGGTCAAAGATTTTACAAATCTAATGCGCCATACTGGTCTTCCTTTATAAATATGCATTTCTTTAAACATAATTTAAAAGCAGTGTAAGGGAAGTAACCAAAACGTTGTATTCTGATTACCTCCCTTACACTGTTTTACATTATCTTAATTGTTCATTAACCATTACTTTATACATAATTTAAAAGCAGTGTAAGGGAGATAATTTCAATGATGTATTTGATTTATCTCCCTTACACTGCTTTAAATTATGTTTTGTACTAAAGTATTTGTCCATTAATGAGGACATCCTTGTTTTTCCCCCTTTTTTGCCCCTAATTCTTAAACGATTTGAGCAATAACCCCCCAAAGCAAATCCTAACCATGCCTTTGTGGTATGGAAACTTGTAGTATAATTTGAGAGAGATCCATACACCGTTCCACAGTTATTGTCTGGAATCTAGAAAATGCTTATTTTTGGCCCCTTTTTGGCCCCTAATTCCTTAACTGTTGGTACCATAACCCCCAAAATCAATCCCCACCTTCCTTTTGTGGTATTGAACCTTATGGTAAAATTTCATAGAGATCCATTCACTTAAACTAAAGTTAGAGTGCGAAAACTAATGCGTATTCGGACGACGACGCTGGACGACGACGACGCCAACGTCATACCAATATACGACCACAAAAATTTTTTTGCGGTCGTATAAAAATTAGTCCATTTACTAGTTAAATACGGAAAAATGAAAATAAATATTTTCAAAATTTTGATCTGGATACTGTATTTTGGTCATAAAAAAGCTTCTGTCCAAATTTCATGAAATTTGGATTATTCCATGAAGGTTTAATAAAATTATTGATGTCCAAAAAAACTTCTAACCACAGACTGAACCTAAATGTAGATGATGCTGATGATGGGATCTAGGATCACTGTCTTGATTTCGCGACATAAAAGTTGCAGGCTCGACAAAAATGAGGTAATATTTCAATAAGATATACCTCAGCAGCTTTGTCATCATAAAACTTTTCCTGGGCTAACGGATTCCAATCTACAGCTACATAAGTCCTATTACTAAGTTTGAGAGGCTGTCCATCTTGTGCCATTTTATATCCTAATTCTGTACTGCCATAAGAATTGACCAAAGTAAATTTACACATTAAAGGGGATGGCTTTTGAATTTTATCATGTCCATTCACTTCACCATTGATATCTCCATTGTGCAGATTTTCTTTGGTATCACCTGATGTATCCATCTGTGTATCATCTATAAATGAAATATAATATTCAAATCATGTCAATTACCTGCTAAGAGAAACACACATCCAGTGACCAACATAATATTTAATGAAAGTTGCAATGGTTAAGTATCACTGTCAAAGGAGAAGGTCTGATAAGGGCTTATTTCGCCCTAAATTCGAAGTAAATCTGATGAAAGATTTTTGACATTTTTTAAACACTTAAGTGTCTACTTCAGTAGATTCAATAAGTTTATGATAAAGATTTGAACTGATTTGGTCATAAAGATGCTTAAATGCAAGCTTAAATATGAAGAATCTATCAAATATGCCATAAAACATCACTTTTCAGATGGTTTTTGTCTCAAATGGAAGTGGCCACATTCGTGTTCAGTCTCAACATTTATATATGTTATGTATAATCATTAAATACAACATATATTTAAATATTAAGGCTGAACACAAGTGTGACCACTTCCATTTTAGACCAAAACTGTCTTAAAATTAGCACAAATGCCAAAATTGTGAAGATTTCAGTATTTTTGCATGAAAGAATTCTGCTACTACCTGATGCATGTGCATTGTATTGTCAAAACAGATCATATTTATGTAACAAAAATATTCTACTTTCCAATAAATAGCTAAAAATTTACATTTTTGACAACGTTGTAAAAACGCTATATTTTGAGCCAAAAAAGGGTCTTACCGGGCCTACTCCTTTGAATCTAAGGTTGCACATCTTTTTGTTAATTATTTTGTTGTTTATCTTGATGTATTCAAAAATAAGTTTCATGCATATGTAATGCAATCATATTAAATTAAACCCGAACTAAATATCAAAGAATTTCCCATGATCATTGAAGCATAAAATGTAGGTCACACCATCCTCCTGTCAATACTTTAAGTACTGGTTAACATGCGTGCCATACGGGCTATGTAAATACTTGTACTTTCAGAAATGAAGAAATAGTATTTGGATTAACCTTTAAATCTCTTAATTTCCACAATCCATTATATTAAACAAAAGTACACCAAAGTAAATTCTGAATATTTAAACAATAAATAATACCATCTTTCTTCTCCTCATCAGAATCTTTCTCATCTTCACTTGTACCATTCACCATCTCCCCATCTTTTTCTACTAACCACCATTTGTCATCTTCAGCAGGCATCTTCACATATCGTCTTTATAAAATATAAAAAAATGTTCAATTCAATAGATCCTTTATCTAAATTAAAAATTCTTACTATAATAAAATGCTCAGCAGGGTGCAGCTTGATACGACAGCAAAAGTTGAACCCTGAACAGTTGGGGCAAGTATAGACAGAACATTCAAGCTTGAAACAGCTCTGAATTTGGATTGTAATTAAGTATTTGACACAGCATAGGTTTTTGACACAGAATGAATGTGGTCTGAGAACTTTGAAATTGGACATTTACCTATGTTGGTCCAATATCCAAAATCTAAATACATGGTTAGATTCAGCATATCAAAGAACCCAAAGAATTCAGTTTTTGATGAAATCAAATTTTAATTTTGGACCCTTTAGACCCCAATGTGGATCAATTTGATAACAGGGCCTAAAATCTAAATATACAGTTAATTGTTGAATTCAAACAAAGTTTAATATTGGACCCCAATTTGGACCAACTTGAAAACTGGGCCCAAAATCCAAAATCTAAATACATGTTTAGATTCAGCAAATCAAAGAACCCCAAGAATTCAATACATGGTTAGATTCAGCATATCAAAGAACCCCAAGAATTCAGTTTTTGATGAAATCAAACAAATTTTAATTTTAGACCCTTTAGACCCCAATGTTGATTAATTTAAAAACGGGGCCTAAAATCTAAATACAGTTAAATGGTTGAATTCAAACAAAGTTTCATATTGGACCCCGATTTTGACCAACTTGAAAACTGGGCCCAAAATCTAAATACATGTTTAGATTCAGCAAATCAAAGAACCCCAAGAATTCAATTTTGGTTGAAATAAAAATGAGTTTAATTTGGACCCTTAGGACCTTAATGTAGACCAGTTTGAAAATGGGGCCCAAAATAAAAATTCTAAATACAGTTAAATTCAGCATATCAAAGAACCTCAATAATTCAATTTCTTATGAAATCAAACCTAGTTTGATTTTGGACCCTTTGAACCTCAATGGGGACCAATTTAAAAATGGGGCCCAAAATCCAAAATCTGAATACATGGTTGGAATCAGCATATTAAAGAATCCCAAGAATTTAAGACTCTGAATTAAACCCCTTTGAAACTGGTCAAGAAATAAGAAATTTATACAAAGTATTATAAAATTTTTGGCCCCTTTTTCCTAAATGCTTTGGGCCATAACCCAAAAATCAGTCCCAACCTTCATTTTGAGGAATGGAACCTTATGGTACAATTTCATAGAGATCCAGACAGTTATACAAAAGTTATTGTCTTGAACAAGAAAAATGCTTATTTTTGGCCCCTTATTCCTAAACAGTTAGGACAATAACCCTTAAAATCAATCCCAACTTTCCTTTTTGTGGTATGGTACCTTGTGGTACAATTTCATAGAGATCCTTTCACTTATTCTCAAGTTATTGTCTGGAAACCTAATGTCTTTGGACGACAACAACGACAATGTCATACCATTATACAGTCACAAAAATGTTGCAGTCGTATAATAAGTATTTAATAATTTTTTTTAATAGTTTTCAACAAAACTGTTTGAGAGCAAAGTCAAAATAAAAATAACTTATATGCTATATTTATATTGCATTGGTTATCATGGTTATTTTAATCATTCATTATTTTATTGGTAAAATTACTTACGATATTCTGTGAAGTAAAGTGTTGTAAAAAGATTCATATGTACAATTTTTCTTAGATACTGGCAGCAGTAATGGTTGACCAAAGAGCTGAAATGAACCACTGTGGTAACTGTTTCTACTTCTGAAATTGTACAAATCAACAATCCAGTAATTAATCTGTAAATTTATCTCAATAAGTGAAATTTTAATAGTGTAAAAATATGTAAGTGTTTGGTAAAAAGGAAGTTGTTGAGTGATCAATCTGAAAACACATCACACGGTATAGCTGACTTATATAAACCCTGAAACCAAATTTCAGAAATCCTTGTAATGTAGTTCCTGAGAAAAATGTGGCGAAAATTTTCAACTTGGATGTCATGTGTAAAATGATGTAAGTGTTCGGTAAACAGGAAGTTGTAAACTATGTAAAAGTTTCAAAGTCAATGAACCTTAATTAGGGGGTAGGGTTATATAATCTCCATGAAACTTGAAATTGCCAATACATTTGCATACCGAATATCATTGACTTAACATTAATGGTTCATCTAAAACTGACCTAATCACAAACTAATACATGTAAACTAAGCAAAAGTTTCAAAGTCAATAGACCGTGACTGAGGGGTAAGGACCAAATATTCTCCATAGAAATGAGATGTGCTAATGCTTATACAACTGCATACCAATTATCATTGACCTACCACTAACGGTTCCCCTTAAACTGACCTAATCACAAACTAATACATGAAAACTAAGCAAAAGTTTCAAAGTCAATAGACCATGAATGAGGGGGCGGGGCCAAATAATCTCCATGGAAATGAGATATGCTAATGCTTATACAACTGCATACCAAATATCATTGACCTACCACTAGTGGTTCGCCATAAACTGACCTAATTACAAACTAATACATGTAAACTAAGCAAAGTTTCATAGTCAATAGACCTTGACTGAGGGGGCGGGTCCAAATAATCTACATGGTAATGAGATGTGCCAATGCTAATACAACTGCATACCAAATATCATTGACTTACCACTAGTGGTTCACCATGAACTAGACCTAATCACAAACTAATACATTGTTGACGCCGCTGCCGCCGGAAACAGCATACCTATGTCTTGTTTTTTGACTACTTCAAGGTGAGACAAAAATCCTTATGATGTAGTTCCCGAGAAAGATGAGACGAAAAATATTCATGGGATGGATTATGATGTAGTTCCTGAGAAAAATGGGACGAAAAATATTCATGGGACTGACAGACAAACTGAGGTAAAACAGTATACCCCCATTTTTTTAAAGCGGGGGTATAATTATGATGAATTATAATCATCAAGGTAACCAATTTTTTAGTCTTTTCAATATGCACTACCAATGGACTTGGGAGTAAAATAAGGGGTTTGTGTCTATCTGTTCCTTTAAAAATTGTTTTTTTCTATACTGGTTAAATTTTCTGTTCTAAGCGACTAACTCTTAACTAATTTGCTAATGCAAATTTTTTAACAATAGTGAATGTCCAAATCAAAACTAGGACAACTTGACCTCCACTAAAATCATAAATGATGCCAGTTAATATTTACTTGAGCATCCTTACATTTATACTTCATAGAGAACTATTTTGTCAATGGATAGAAACAAAAATTTATACAAAATTCTGTCACTTCCACTTTAAATATAATATACAGCATGAATGATACACGCTTTTTTGCATATTGAAATTGTCATTTGATTGTTGTAAGAAAAAAATGAAATATTTATAAGGTTTTTAATCTGAAGTCAGTAAAATGGCACTGTATTATAATTTGCATGAGTATCCTAAGAAATATAAATACAGGCCATGGCTGAATACGTACTTTTTCTCCCTCATATATATAGGAACAATGACTGTGTCAGGATCATCATTTGTTGAAACGGGTACTTCATATCTGTAATTAAAGACAAATTTAAAACTGAAACTTAAATAAGACTTTGCATGAAAAAATATAAGATACTATTCAGTGATTTTGCTAGCGCTCGTCATTTTCGTCATTTACGAAACGGTTTTCAAAATGATGAAAGTATTCCAAATCAATTTTCGTCACTTAATTTTGGAAAGAGTAAAAATATTTTTGCATGAAAATACTATAATTCTACCTGTCTTATTGTTTCTGACAAGTTTATGACCCTCAGCTAATTAACATTTACAACAGGTGTTATAAGTTGTGATTACAGATAATCCGCTTATCGCCATCAGATGGGTCACTAATCCGTTAATTATTTATCAACCTCAAAATTGATCATCAATATATTTTTTTCCCCAGTAAAATCAGTCAGTCCGCATTTCAATTTCAATATTTATCAAACGAGCACAATTTGCAGTTCGTTTGTCGTAGTTTCGTCATTTGAGTTTTCCCTCGGACAGTTCGCATTTTAATTTCAATATTTTCGTCATATTTGATATAACTTTCGACAATTTCGATTAAAAAGATAGAACTTTGTTCATAACATTCAGAAATGTTTTCACGAGTCAAACAGGTGCTTCCTTTACGATGAACTGTGCATGCGCGAAAGTATTCATATGAATTTAAAGACACTAAAACGTAAAATACGAAATAATTAAGTATCAAACTAAACGAGAGAGACAATTATAGTTCTTATTTAGCAAATTTAATTTAAAAAATGATAATTTCCTGCCTTTTTTAAACACGAACCAATCCGTAGATGAATCCAGATTCATTCTGAATTTATTATTCACTTGTCACTTCCCGTTTTCATTTCATTTGGAAATCGAAAGTAAACGTGATCTATTCATGATAAATTTACAATTTAAAGTCATTAGAATTGTTCCAATAAGGATTTGTACAAATCCTTGGTTCCAACTTTATAGAATTAATTCTCAATATCGCTTTAAAACGTTTTTAAGTATAAATAATGCAGTGAAATAGTCCTTACAAGTTCATTTATGCTGTGATTCCTGGTTTAAAAAAAAATGGATCCCAACTTTTGCTGATTAGAAATGTACCCTGAAACTAACTGAAGTGAAATTGTGAACTAGATTTCTAGATCTTATATCCTAATCTTCTTATTAAAGTGCCACATCAGTTAAATCATGCAGTAACTGCCTAGTATGCCTAAGTCCTTCAAAGACAAAGTCTGACAAAGATGTATAGATAGTAATATACATCCTAGGTCCCTTGCTGCTACCCAAAATAAGGTTGATTTTAATCCCGCGCAAAAGTGACTAAAGCCCTCAAAATCCTAGCTTAAACCCTGATACTTTTTGCATATTGTACTGTGATTTGGGGACTATAAGTCAATACCAAGGATGGTTTTACAGTCAATTTCCTAATGCATGCAGAGTAAGAGTTTGGTTGGCTTGCTTGCCTTGCTTGCTTTGTTTGTATTAATGTTTGCTCAAGCATTGTAATTAAGATTGACATCTGTAAACAATATAAGTAGGCAGAGTTAAACCTGTATATAGGTAAATTTGATTATTTGATAGTGTCCAAACAAATTTAAGTATAAAGTAAACAAATTTAACTCTGCCTTTATATATTGTTTTCAGATGTCAATCTTAATTACAATGCTTGAGCAAACATTAATATAAACAAAGCAAGCAAGCCAACCAAACCTTAAACTTGCGAGCAGCTAACAGCTGTAAGGGCCCCTTTTTGGCAAATATTGGTGGATTGTAAAAAATAAATGTGGATAGTGTCCACATGTGGACACAGATGATGCCCCCGCTTGCATATCATATAGTTATAAAGGGACATAACTGAAGAACGGTAAAAGTGACACTACCCAAATTTGAACTGGATCTGAGTTTTGTGGTAATAAGCATTGTGTGCAAGTCTCATAACATTTGGTTGAGGCTAACTTTAAAAGTAGAGAACAGAAACTAAAAATTCAGCAATTTTTCTATTTGAAAACACACATAACTCTAGAACTGTTGTGTATAAGTTTTATATCATTTGGTTGAGACAAACTAAAGTTAGAGAACGAGATGAAAAATTCAGCAATTTTTATGTTTATAAAGGGACATAACTCAAGAATGGTAAAAGTGTCACCACCAAATTTCGTACTTAAATCTGTATTATGCAGTAATAAGCATTGTGTATAAGTTTCATAACATTTGGTAAAGGCAAACTAAAGTTAGAAAACAGAAACAAAAAATTTGTACTTGATCTTAGTTTTGTGGTAATGAATATTGTGTATAGGTTTCATAATGTTTGGTTGGGGCAAACTTAAGTTACAGAATGGAAACTAAAAATTTTGCAATCTTTCGATTTATAATGGGGCATAACTCAATAATGGTTAAAGTGACACTACCCAAATTCAACTTGATCTGTGTTTTATCAGTGGAAGTCAAAATTAAACATTGCATTGTATAAAGCATTGATTGTAGTTGATTCAACTATAATCATGGACAAAGGAATATAACTCCAATTTTAAAATTACTTGATATTTAGAAGAAACTAAAAATTTTGCAATTTTTCCATTTATAAAGGGGCATAACTCTAGAACGGTTAAAGTGACGCCACCAAAATTCAAACTTGATCTGTGTTTTGTGGTAATTAGCATTGTGTATAAGTTTCATAACATTTGGTTGAAGCAAACTTAAGTTAGAGAACAGAAACTAAAAATTTGGCAATTTTTCCATTTATAAAGGGGCATAACTCTAGAACGGTTAAAGTGACGCCACCAAAATTCAAACTTGATCTGTATTTTGTGGTAATAAGCATTGTGTATAAGTTTCATAATATTTGGTTGAGGCAAACTCAAGTTAGAGAACAGAAACCAATTTTGGGACGGATGTACAGACGGACAAGAGTTAAACTTAACGCCCCCTCTGCTACAGCGGGGGCATAAAAATCTATTGGTAAGTATTGTACTTTGGTAGGTAAAAACACAAGAAAAAGGGATTTTTTTATTGTATTTTAATACAAAACAAAGTCTACGGAGAATGGAATATTGTATGCCAATATTACACTTCAGCCTACATTGTACTTACATAAATATATCATCCCTGTCTAGAATATAGCTAAGGCTTTCTTCAGGATTGAACACTTTGTGGAATCTATGGTTATAAACATCTGTTACTGCCATCTGTAATTAATATATTTAATCACATTCATATTTTGCCTTTATATTTTTGTTTTCTTAGTTGACACAAATTTGAAGTTGATAAAACAGTAACACGATACCAAAGGGTAATGAAAATCTTCTACGATTTCCTGATAGTGTACAGTAAAATCAGGACTGTCTGCAATGCAATTCATATACAAATTCTGTTGCTGCCTCATTGAAGTTTACCCTATCTCCTTTTATTTACAAATGCATCCTCTGTTTTACAATATTTATGAACTACTTATGCAAGAATTAAAATGACAACATAGTGCATCACCTCATCATATAATATAAAGAAAGTAAAATCAATAGTCTGTAAGAGTATTATACGTAATTTTATATGTAAATGCTATAATACATACCTTTGAATGTTCTACTCCTACTTTGTCAGACAATATTTTACACATGTCTAAAACACTTCCCATTTTTGGCACTATTAATTTAAACTACAAAATATAACATTTAAATGATTAATAAATCAATATGAGAAAAGTTTTATCTAAATTTAGTAGTAAACTATTCGACATAGGATAAATTGACTGACTGATGCCTGCTAATTGTCTAGTTGTAAGCTTTTATTTTGCAGAGTTCTTTCAATCTATTTTTTTTTCATTCTCTCCAGAATTCCATTTAATGCAATGATTGAATAATATTGTCATAACATTTCTTTTTCTCATGTAAATATATTTTGAATACATATGAACATTACCTGAACAGGTTTCTTTTCAGGACTAAGTGGAACCCAGAATATTTCCAATTGTCTCTCCTTTTTGACTGGGAGTGGTAGAGAAAGATAACAAAAAGGATCAAAAGTCACAGATATTTTATCACATTCAGGACAATGAACAGTGGATTTCAACAATCCATGGAAAGTGTCAACAATCACAGAATCGTTCCTCTTCCTATAGTTTTCCCAGGATTCCATGGCTACCATCTAATATTAAAAATTATGAATTAGTCAAATGTGAAATATCTAATATAATCCATGAAAAAATGTATGTTCTTCAATTATAGCTTGTCCTAGTTTTCATATTTTGTGGCTTTAATAGAGAGAGTTGCAGAAATTTGTCTACAAAATTTATCATTGCCATAAACTAGAAGATTGCCCATTAAATGTAACTGAGTAGTGATTAAACAGATTCATACCTCATCTGGTCGATCATCTGCATCTTTTTGTTCTATATATGGTTTTTTATGGATTCGGTTCAGGTCTTCATGCAGACCATCCAGTAGAAAAGCCAGCAATTCTTGCGAGTCTTGTTGCTGGTATCCAGAAAACTGTGGAGCAAATCTTCCTACAGCAACCTGCAGAAAATTACAAAAATATGAGGATGAACTACCTTTTTTATGACTTAAGGCCAGAGTTTTTTATGTTGGTTTAAAGATTTTTATGTGAAGAAGTCAGGTCGGTCAATCGGGAAAAATAAATGTGGATACAGATGATGCCCCCCCCCCCCCCCCCCCCTTGCATAGCATATAGTTATAAAGGGACTAACTGAAGAACGGTAAAAGTGACACTACCCAAATTTGAACTTGATCTGAGTTTTGTGGTAATAAGCATTGTGTGTAAGTCTCATAACATTTGGTTGAGGCTAACTTAAGTAGAGAACAGAAACTAAAAATTCAGCAATTTTTCTATTTGTAAACACGCAAAACTCTAGAACGGTTGTGTATAAGTTTTATAACATTTGGTTGAGACAAACTAAAGTTGGAGAATGGAAACGAAAAATTCAGCAATTTTTATGTTTATAAAGGGACATAACTCAAGAATGGTAGAAGTGTCACCACCAAATTTCGTACTTAAATCTGTATTATGTAGTAATAAGCATTGTGTATGAGTTTCATAACATTTGGTTGAAGCAAACTAAAGTTAGAAAACGGAAACAAAAAATTTGTACTTGATCTTAGTTTTGTGGTAATGAATATTGTGTATAGGTTTCATAATGTTTGGTTGGGGCAAACTTAAGTTACAGAATGGAAATTAAAAATTTTGCAATCTTTCGATTTATAAAGGGACATAACTCAATATTGGTTAAAGTGACAATACCCAAATTCAACTTGATCTGTGTTTTATCAGTGGAAGTCAAAATTAAACATTGCATTGTATAAAGCATTGATTGTAGTTGATTCAACTATAATCATGGACAAAGGAAGGTAACTCCAATTTTAAAAATTACTTGCTATTTAGAAGAAAATAAAAATTTTGCAATTTTTCCATTTATGAAGGGAATGGAAAAATTGAGTTTGCCTCAAAAAACTTGATCTGTGTTTTGTGGTAATAAGCATTGTGTATAAGTTTCATAACATTTGGTTGAGGCATAACTTGCGAGCAGCTAACAGCTGTAAGGGCCCCTTTTTGGCAAATATTGGTGGATTGTAAAAAATAAATGTGGATAGTGTCCACATGTGGACACAGATGATGCCCCCACTTGCATATCATATAATTATAAAGGGACATAACTGAAGAACGGTAAAAGTGACACTACCCAAATTTGAACTTGATCTGTGTTTTGTGGTAATAAGCATTGTGTATAAGTTTCATAACATTTGGTTGAGGCAAACTCAAGTTAGAGAACGGAAACCAATTTTGGGACATACATACAAACGTAGCATTGTGTATAAGTTTCATAACATTTGGTTGAGGCTAACTTAAGTTAGAGAACGGAAACAAAAAATTCAGCAATTTTTCAATTTGTAAAGGGGTATAACTCTAGACCGGTTAAAGTGACACCACCAAAATTCAAATTTGATCTGTATTTTGTGGTAATAAGCATTGTGTATAAGTTTCATATCATTTGGTTGAGGCAAACTAAAGTTAGAGAACGGAAACAAAAAATTCAGCAATTTTTCCACTTGTAAAGGGGCATAACTCTAGAACAATAAAAGTGACACCCACAAAATTTGAACTTGATCTGTATTTTGTGGTAAGAAGCATTTTGTGTAAGTTTCATAGCATTTGGTAGAGATAAACTTAAGTTAGAGAACGGAAACGAAAAATTCAGCAATAACTCTAGAACGGTTAAAGTGACGCCACCAAAATTCAAACTTGATCTGTATTTTGTGGTAATAAGCATTGTGTATAAGTTTCATAACATTTGGTTGAGGCAATCTAAAAGTAAGAGAACGGAAACCAACTTTGGGATGTACGGACTTCATCGGTAGGGGACTAATAAAAACAAAACCTCCATTTAATGTTACCATTTCCCTTCTTAAGTAGCAAAGGACATGTACAGCAGGCTATAGAAGCTTGTTATAAATTTGGTTTAAAATGTTGCTATGGGAATAAATTCCTGGAGTACCAACTTCAATTTATTTTTCTACTGGCTGAATACCTCTCTGGAACATGCTAGTTATCTGTGTATATGTGCAGCTAGATCAGAGAAAGTCAGGGAAAAAATTCCAAAGGAATCGATTGATATGCAGCAAAGATTAGCACTTTTGAAATTAAGTTACTAAGGAAATTCAAACAGACCTTATCTCGATGTAAACATTGAATATGAATAGATCGAGAAGACCGCAAATACATGTACAAAAATCGAGACTACCTTTTCTTAAAATTGTATAAAAAATAGTAGAAAGATACCTACTTTATAAGAATGTATAGTATAGTTATCTTTAATTTTTTAACCTGCACAGACGGACCTTTAAATTGTTATATTCACGAAAAAGACAATATTTCTATATTGAATGTACATGTGAGAAGAGCAGACCGGTGCACTCCATAACTTAGGTGTGAAAATATAAGTATATTTTGAGAAAGCTTAGGACTTTGTGGAACACTCTGAAACTTGGTGACCCGAAAGAAATTTAGATTTTGTATGTACATGATTTTTTCCAATTTTTTTATCAATATGCAGCTAAGATTAGCTTTTTTTAGCTTTCAGTTTCACAAGCTTCTAATGCAATTATCTTGATAAATACTGAACACAAAACATCGTGAATTTGCATGTATATTTCTAATAACACAGTTAAACAAATAATTTCTTTAAAATGTACAATTATTATTTAAGGAATGACTAATATTTTTTCTGTCTATGAAGAAATAACATAAAAAATGTGGTGCACACTGAATGACCTCTTTATGCCAATAAAAAAGAACCTCCTGATTCCCACACATTTTCAATATCAAATAGCTCTTTGAAGCAAAAATAAAGTTTTAAATCTATTCTTTACTTGGAACCAATAACTAATACAACTTACTTTGAAGTTACGAGGAACAGTATGACTATACTTTCCAGACCACATGACCTTGATCAGTTCTGCATATGACTTTGCTATTTCTCCTCCCATTCCAAGAGGATTGCTCTCATTCACCTCACTTATCCATCTGTCACTCAACAGGTACTCTGTCAACTTAGGAACATTGCTCATACACTACAAAAAAAAAGGCAATATATTTATCCTCCTACTAAAATTTCTGCAAGTATTAGTAACAACAATTCTATTGTCCCCTAACTCATAATGATGGATTGTCCCACTTCATACATAATAATATTGTTGAAATATATGACATAATGTCATAGTAATATAGAAACCAAACCTTATGATCAACTCCTTTAAAAAAATATTGGCAGGGGTTAGACTGACCCTGGCTAACCTGCCAGGTCTGACGGATGGTGGCATATACCAAAAAACATTGCTGAAAAATAAAATATAGTTTTATTTTAAGAAATTTCATCAAGACACCAAGATTCTGGTTAAATTTCTGTATATATATAGCTGTCATGTAATGAAAATGTTTGCTTGACAGCCTCATTATGCTTAAACCTATTTTTGGGTCTCCTTAGAAAAATATTTGACAGGGTTTCCCTGTCTTGAAGGCTCATGCCCAATATAAGTTTCCTAAAAATGAAAGATGTAGGTGACTTTATCCAGAAACCAAGATTTAAAACAATATTTTGCAACTGTGATCTCAACCTTTGACCAGTTGATCTCAAAATCCACAGGCTTTGTCCTATCCTTTCTATCTACAACTTATACAAGTTTTATTAAAATCCAACAAGTGTACCTTATGTAATCACACAAGGGAAACAAAATTGCACCTTATAAACATAAGTACTCTGAAATTGAAAAGTCCCTCATTCTCTAAATTGGGTTGATTCTTTACAACAATACAATTTCAGGTCAGTGAAGTTCAAAACATAGGTCAGAATGAAAGGCTACTGTACTCTCTCAGATATATATTAATATCTTAAGTTTTCAGTAAATTGTTTGCTTTTTGTATGTTGTTATTCTTTTATTGTACATATATTCACACTTCAAAAAATATAATTTTAAGTTTTAGATTCATAATCTCTTTCCTCTACCTTATGTAATACCAGGAAACATACTTTTACTTTGAACAGGAAGTACAAACAACATCCACTTATATAGATTAAATCTGCCTTCTTTTGTAGTATTTCAGTGTTTTATATTAGTTAAATAGAAAAAAAATCTTAATCTATACCAATAGAACAAGATGTTTCAAGATATCGGAAATTCTAGAAAAAATATTTTTTTTAGTTTTATATGAAAAAAGTAAAACAGCCAAGGCTTAGAGGATATGACAAATAGAAAAAAAAATCTGATATTGCAATGGAAAGTGACCAGCCATTATTTACTCATTTTTCTATATAAAAAAATAGACAATAACATAATGCATCTGTACGAGATATGAAGTATACATGTCTCCCACCTTTTGAAATGTAAATCTTTATAAAAATTGTTTAAGCCCATGCCACTGCTAGATTAGCATTTTTTCTTAGAAATAATCTTTTTTGAACACAGGAGCTTTTGTCAAAGAGCAGAAGTCTTTTTATGTTTTCAAATAAAAAGAATGTTTTCACATATATATATATTATATAAAATCATAATTTCTATTTTCATTATTTTGTATTTTAATCATCATTATCATTATAATTCCTTTGAATATTTTACTACAAATAATTATCAGCATAAACGATTTGGATTTATTACTACAGCTGTCAATTTTTATAATCTGTTTATAGTGCAATTATAATTATCAGTTAATGCTGGTAAATCCTTTACAAAAGACAATCAAGTGTAGTACTAACATGGGATAAATGGGAGACCCTGAAACTTACATGTGAATTACTTTATGAATAAATAAGGAGTTGAGAAAACCCACATTAGTGATACCTTTCTTATCAGTCATTCCAAAGGTCCGTCAGACATATGGCAAAATAATGCAATGTTCAGTAATGAATGGTTCGGTCCAGTAAAATGTCATCAATATCTGGACCAAATGAACAGTGTAGATGTATGCATTTTGTAATACTCATAATGTAATAGACTGCTAAAACATTGACTGGTCATTAATGCCAGAACAACTACTTGACCTAAAGATCACTGAGGTCCAAAAATCCTTCAGGACCTCTGCTTTCTTGACTATTGAATGTATCAGACATATGTATATTGCATTTATAATGGTAGTGGAACATATTTTACAACTTAATTTTAGTAAAGATTATTTTTCATGTAAATGGGAGATAATCCAAATTTGAACATGTACATTCTCTCATTAAAAATGCATTATGTTATAACACAGGTAAAACTTGTCACATTTCCTACTTAGAGACATGGAACATTTACACGTGTCATGGTAGAGGGGCATACCCTGGGAGGTGAAAAAGGCTCACAGTTAAAAAAATTTCACAAATTGTACTGTTTTGTTATATGATTGTAAACTTTACCTGAATAGCTGAATTCATAAAGCAGGTATTCCCCAAGTTAGACAGACCACAAAGTCCGGGTGCTACACTGCCACCCCTGCCTTGGTCATATCCATAGTAACCATAGGATGAACCACCATAACCAGAATCATAGCCACTGGAACTGGACCTTGTAGAAGTATATGAACCACTGTTGTAACTGTTTGTACTGATAAAAAAATAAATTCTTATTACCCAAGATTTAGACAAAAAAATAAAATATGATTTTTTTGTTTCAAATACAAGTATGGGATTTTGAAATAAAATTTGACTATTGTCAGTTAGGTTCAATTTTGTAAAATAAAAAGCTAAGAAAAACATCGCTCATGTAATATTGGCTTGCAAGCCAATAATTCAACCCCATTAGAATCCATATTTGTGTAACCTTTAATTTGACACTTAGCTGGAGATAGGTAACAAATGTCCTAAGCATGTTCACTTATTAAAAAGTTAAGAATGCCAACACTGAAAAGTGAAACAAGGGAGCCACCAAAAGAAAAAAACAACGTTTTGATGACTTATTTCAGCCCACAAAAATTCCAACTAAACAGGTCAAATGATTACTTTTTTTTTAATCTATGACATGAAATCAAACAGACCTAGAAAACACATCAACATAAAATTGTGCATGTTTGTCTATTTGTATTTTTGTTTATATAGGGTTGTGTGACCATCAGCAGTCTTTGAAGGTCATCTCAATGGTTAATTATATGGCACTTAAGTCTAAAATACCCACAAAATGTTGATACATTATAATGAGTCCATGCATTTTTATGTTTTCTTTTGGCTTTTTTGTAATTGGATATACAGTTTAGTTTGTTAAAATTAAAATATGAGAATTTCAGTGGAATCGTTGATCATCAATTTGACAGCTAACACCCATCTAAACAGTTACACTCTAGTCTGTTAGGATGATGATCAATAATGGTTGTGAAACAGCATTAAATTAAGATTTTTTATAACAGCACTTTGACATGTTTGAGAACTACTGTGAATTAGTTAAATGGTCTGTTTTGTTTTTTGTTCCATAAGAACATGAAGATCAATATTGTGAAGTCATTTAGGCAAAAATCAAAATAGCATTTCTCCTTAGAAAACTTCCCATAAGAGTTTGTCTAAAGGAATGTATTTTATTTTATTTCGCAAAGTATCTTCTAGCTTCATTATTTCATGGGATAATGTGTTACTGTTGCCTATCTTTTTCTTCTTTTGTTCATAAGCTTTAAATCTTAGTTATTTACATCACTACATACATTATAGCTTGTCTAGGCCTAAATCTTAGCTATCGGTATTTACATCACTACATACCTTTTAGCTTGTCTAGGCCTAAATCTTAGATATTTACATCACTACATACCTTTTAGCTTGTCTAGGCCATGTTCCATCTTCATTCTTTTGTTCTATGACTATAACCTGTCAAAAAAATAGTATATAACTATTATGACAAATGTTACATTTCTACTTACAAGGACTTATGTGCCAGGAAAGGGATCAATCTTTTAGAGGCTCTCTAATGTTCCTGGAAGCTTTTTAAATTTTAACATGACATGATAAAGGTGACTGGGGTGTCTTCCTCCATCTTGGATTTTGAAATAGCAGATAACATTCGGTCTAGATCTTTAAGAAAATGTGCAAATTTCAAGAGTAGTACGTAATTCATGTGTAAGACTTTTCATGTTAATATAGAAAATTATGTGTTTTATCATATTTACAGCTGTATTTTACAATAAAAATCAGAATATTTTTGTTTAATTCATTTTTTTTCAACTTTGCCAAATAAGGGGAGATAACCCAGATAAAGTAACTTCTATAGTAGAATGTGTTGTGAGTTTACCTACTTTAATATTTAGCAAGAAAACGAGTCCGGTGACCCCATTTTTTCTTTTCTTATCTGAAAGCATATGATTAGAGCTTTCTTCTCATATTTTATCTTAAAATTCTATTTTATATCACACAAAATTGGGTTTTCCTTTCATAATCTATACAAAATCTGACAATTTTGCGCAACCTGTAGCGTGAAAAAAAGCCCGTGACCCATACTTTTTATTATATTTTTGAAAAAAGCATGATATAAACTACATTTTGACAAATTATTAAAAAATTCTATGAATTTTAATTTAGACCCCCCCCCCCCCATCTACCTTAAAGACCATATTTATTAACTTTGGATTTCTTTTCTTTCTCTAATCCCCTAAAGCTCCATACCATTTCAACATATAGCTGTATAGAGAAGATTTTAAAATTGGCCAGTCAGAATTGATGATTCACTCTGACAGTTTTTGATCCTATCAAAATCAGGACTTTTTATAAAGGACATTCAATATATTATTCCTGCCAAGTTTTCTACAATTTGCCTGCTGGTTCAGAAGAAATACTGAACAATAAATTACCTTACAAAAGATGAAAGGAAGAATAGCTTACATGGTCCGAAAGTCAAACGTCTTCTTTACAAAAGTCATGCATAAGTTCATCAAAAATAACAAAGAATAGCTCTATTCAAATGTTATTTATTCACATATAAATAAGCAATTACTACTCCTAAAATATTGCCTACCTGTCCAGAATACAAGGCAGCATCTTGTAATGTGCTTTCTTTTTTACTAAGGTGTTCATAAGTATTACTCATGTACTTGTACCACAGCCTTACTTCTTGGTCTTCAGCAATTTCAAATGTCTTTCTCATTTCTTTTTCTAAATCCTCTGAAAAATGAAATTTTGTTTCCATCAATACAAAATAGAGCCTATAGTATTCCATGAAATATTTGCCATTTTCCTATCCATATACCAAAAATCAGGAAATTGATGGTAAAAGCAGTATTTTCTTAAATATTGAATTTTCTGTTGTCTTCTTTAGAATTTATTAGAGAATTGTATATTAAAAGGTATAATTATACAAATGCACCTGTTTTTAAATTAGTTCAGTTATTGTCCAAAAAGAATGTAAAGGAATTGTCTAATATAGGAAAATATTTAAAATATGCCACAGATATAAAAATGTTCAGGACAATCCTTTGAATGATTTATACTTTGTAGTCTTGCCTCCGATTATATTTAAAATGTTCTGTTATGATATGATATGTATATATTTATGATATACCTATATTTTGACTTGGATGGAGAGTTGTCTCATTGGAACTCATACCACATCTTTCTATATCTATAAGCTGTATTGCTTCTGGTTTGAAATAAACTATTAAATAAATGGGGAATGTGTCCATGGGACACAGATGATGCCCCCGCTTGCATATAATGTTATAAAGGGACATAACTCAAGAACTGTAAAAGTGACGCTACCCAAATTTGAACTTGATCAGAGTTTTGTGGTAATTAGAATTGTGTATACGTTTCATAACATTTAGTTGAGGAAAACTTAAGTTAGAGAACCGAAACAAAAAATCCAGCAATTTTTCCATTTGTAAAGGGGCATAACTTTAGAACAATAAAAGTGACGTCACCAAAGTTCAAACTTGATCTGTGTTTTGTGGTAATAAGCATTGTGTATAAGCTTCATAACATTTGGTTGAGGCAAACTTGTTAGAGAACGGAAACAAAAAAATAAGCAATATTTCCATTTGTAAAGGGGCATAACTCTAAAACAGTAAAAGTGACGCCACCAAAATTTAAACTTGATCTGTGTTTTGTGGTAATAAGCATTGTGTATAAGTTTCATAACATTTGGTTGAGGCAAATTAAAATTAGAGAACGGAAACATAAAATTCAGCAATTTTTCAATTTGTAAAGGGGCATAACTCAAGAACGACAAAAGTGACGCCACCAAAATTCAGACCTGATCAGTGTTTTGTGGTAACAAGCATTATGTATAAGTTTCATAACATTTGGTCAAGGCAAACAAAAGTTAGAGAACGGAAACCAATTTTGGGATGTAGGTACGGACATACAGACAGACAAGGGTAAAACTTAATGCCCCCTCTGCTACGGCGGGGGGCACAAAAAATAAAGTTGACTGTTTTTTTGTGATGATGTCTCATTGTTCGTGTGTGGACTTCATAGACTTTTCAAAAGACTAGAGTTAAAGTTTAGCCTCAAAATCAAAGATTAAAATGTTTCTTGCTGGAATTTAAAAAAAATGTTATTTGAAGATAACATTTTGTGTAGGAAACTTTAACGCAAATGCAATTCAATTTATATTATGTCTTGATAATCAATAAATTGTTTTGTTCAATATATATGTCCGTACCAATGGTATCAGCTCTACTCATAGATTTGTTGATTATTTTTTCCAAATTAGAATTTTCACACATTTTGACATCCAGCATGTAGACTTCTACTTTACAGTGTTTAACAAACATTCCTTGTTCTATTACTTTCCTTTCTATTGGTGTCTGTGAGAGAAAAAATATAACTTTTATATAATTAATTTAATGTCAATGCTATAAAAACTGAACAATCATAATTATTGGAAAAACATTTGAAAACTTTTTCAGACAAACATATATCGTCAACTTATGAAGTGATGTGTTTGACCAGTTAGTGTAACAGTCTTGGCTTTGTTAATTAATTCAATATTTCTAAATTGCTGTGAAACTGAATAACAAAGTAAAAAATCTATTATACAGTGGCTAAACCAAGACTGCAGTCTATCAACAGAAAAGTATTTTTCCTATCAAGAACTAAGGTAATGCAAATCCTGACTTTTACCTCTTAGTATAGGATCTCTGTGTGAATAAAATAAAGCCAACCTCATGACCAGTTTTGACTGGTGTAAATACAGGTGATTTGCGATTGACCTTGACATGTAATTTACTGAAAGCTATTATTGTTTTATACAAATTAAAGGTAAATATGACTTCTTTTAGACAAGGCATAAAATAGGCAGTACATTTATCAAATAACCCAGCAAGAGGTCTGGTCATAAAATCATTACCAACCTGCCCTTCAATCATGCCATACCAAGACATAATTTTACTCCACGCTTCTTCAGGAACAAGTTGATAGTCTAGTTCATCTATGAGGTGCTCTTTCAACTTCCCTAAAATAAATATTTACCAAGTTTCGTTTCATCATGTTATTTATTTATTTTAAGTACACGCAGTGTCCTAATTAGCCCAAATTAGAGGGGCACTGCACCCGCTCACCTACCCTACCACATGAAATAAAATGCTCCGCAGGGCGCAGCTTGATACAACCGCAGAGGTCGAACCCTGAACAGTTGGGGCAAGTATGGACACAACATTCAAGCTTGATACAGCTTTGCATTTGGATTGTGATTAAATATTTGACACAGCATAGGTTTCTGACACAGAATGAATGTGGTCTAAGAACTTAAAAATTTTAAATTGGACATTCACCTATTATGGTCCAATATCCAAAATCTAAATACATGGTTAGATTCAGCATATCAAAGAACCCCAAGAATTCAATTTTTTATGAAATCAAACAAAGTTTAATTTGGACCCTTTTGACCTCAATGTGGACAAAGTTGATAACGGGGCCCAAAAATCAAAATACATGGCTAGATTCAGCATATCAAAGAACCCCTATATATTCAATTTTTGTTTAAATCAAACAAAGTTTAATTTTGGACCCCGATTTGGACCAACTTGAAAACTGGGCCCATAATCAAAAATCTAAATACATGTTTAGATTCAGCATATCAAAGAACCCTAAGAATTCAATTTTTGTTAAAATCAAACTAAGTTTAATTTTAAACCCTTTGGACCTTAATGTAGACCAATTTGAAAACGGAACCAAAAATTAAGAATCTAAATACACGGTTAGATTCGGCATATCAAAGAACCCCAATAATTCAATTTTTGATGAAATCAAACAAAGTTTAATTTTGGACCCTTTGGACCTCAATGTGGACCAATTTAAAAACGGGGCCCAAAATCCAAAAACTAAATACACGGTTAGATTCAGCATATTAAAGAACCCCAAGAATTCAAGAATAAAACCCCATTGAAATTGGTCAAGAAATAAGCAATTTATACGAAGTATCTTCTTTTGCACAATACTGTGCAATTAAATATTTCTTGCTATTGCGCAATACTGTACAATTGACAATTTCTTGCTATTGCGCAATATTGTGCTATTGGATATTTCTTGCTATTGCGCAATACTGTGCAATTGAAGATTTCTTGCTATTGTGCAATACTGTGCAATTGAAGATTTCTTGCTATTGTGCAATACTGTGCAATTGAAAATTTCTTGCTATTGCACAATACTTATTATATAATAATTTACACATCCTGTTTGGTGTGTATCTCCTACCATATCATTATTATTTGCTTTTAAATATAAATCAGAAATAACCAACTTAAAATGGAAAATTTTAAAAGAAAAAAAAAAATCCCCCCCCAAATTTTTTGAACCCCCTTATGATTCATCACCCCCAAACTCAATCCCAGCCTTCCCTTTGTGGTATGGTACCTTGCAGTACAATTTCAGAGAGATGCATACACTTGAACACAAGTTATTGTCTGGAAACTAGAAAAATGCTTATTTTTGGCCCCAAATTCCTAAATGTTTCGGCAATTACCCCCAAACTCAAACCCAGCTTTCCCTTTGTGATATGGAACCTTGTAGTACAATTTCAGAAACATCCATACACTTACACATAAGTTATTGTCATGAAACTAGAAAAATGCTTGTTTTTTGCCCCTTTTTTGGCCCCTAATTCCTAAAATATTGAGGCAATTACCCCCATCATCAATCCCAGCCTTCCCTTTGTGGTATGGTACCTTGCAGTACAATTTCAGAGAGATCCATACACTTGAACACAAGTTATTGTCTGGAAACTAGAAAAATGCTTATTTTGGGCCCCCAATTCCTAAACGTTTCGGCAATTACCCCCAAACTCAATTCCAGCTTTCCCTTTGTGATGTGGAACCTTGTAGTACAATTTCAGAAACATCCATACACTTACACACAAGTTATTGTCATGAAACTAGAAAAATGCTTCTTTTTTGCCCCTTTTTTGGCCCCTAATTCCTAAAATTTTGAGACAATTACCCCCAAAATCAATCCCAGCATTCCTTTTGTGATATGGAACTTTGTGGTACAATGTCAGAGATATCCATACACTAACACACAAGTTATGTCTGGAAGTTACAAAAATGCTTATTTTTGGCCCCTTTTTGGCCCCTAATTCCTTTACTGTTGGTACCATAACCCCCAAAATCAATCCCAACCTTCCTTTTGTGGTATTGAACCTTGTGGTAAAATTTCATAGAGATCCATTCACTTAAACTAAAGTTAGAGTGCGAAAACCAATGTGTCTTCGGACGACGCCAGACGACGACGACGCCAAGGTCATACCAATATACGACCACAAAATTTTTTTTGCGGTCGTATAAAAATAAATGGGGAATGTGTCCATGGGACACAGATGATGCCCCCGCTTGCATATCATATAAAATGCTTTGCTGGGCGCAGCTTGATACGACCAAAGAGGTCGAACCCTGAACAGTTGGGGCAAGTATGGACACAACATTCAAGCTTGATACAGCACTGAATTTGGATTGTGATTAAATATTTGACACAGCATAGGTTTCTGACACAGAATGAATATGGTCTAAGAACTTAAATTTTTTTAATTTACCTATTCAAACCATATCATTATTATTTGCTTTTATATATAAATCAGAAATAACCAATTTAAAATGGAAAATTTTAAAGAAAAAAAGGGGAAAAAAATCCCCCCTCAAATTTTTTGAACCCCCTTATGATTCATCACCCCCAAACTCAATCCCAGCCTTCCCTTTGTGTTACAATGTATGGTGCCTTGCAGTACAATTTCAGAGAGATCCGTACACTTGAACACAAGTTATTGTCTGGAAACTAGAAAAATGCTTGTTTTTTTGCCCCTTTTTGGCCCCAAATTCCTAAACATTTTGGGCAATTACCCTCAAACTCAATTCCAGCTTTCCCTTTGTGATATGGAACCTTGTGGTACAATGTCAGAGAGATCCATACACTAACACACAAGTTATTATTGAAGTTACAATAAAATGCTTCGCTGGGCGCAGCTTGATACGACCGCAGAGGTCGAACCCTGAACAGTTGGGGCAAGTATGGACACAACATTCAAGCTTGATACAGCTCTGAATTTGGATTGTGATTAAATATTTGACACAGCATAGGTTTCTGACACAGAAAGAATGTGGTCTAAGAACTTCAATTTTTTTAATTTACCTATTATGGTCCAATGTCCAAAATCAAAATACATGGTTAGATTCAGCATATCAAACAACCCCATATATTCAATTTTTGTTGAAATCAAACAAAAGTTTAATTTTGGACCCCAACTTGGACCAACTTGAAAACTGGTCCCATAATCAAAAATCTAAACACATGTTTAGATTCAGCATATCAAAGTACCCCAAGAATTCAATTTTTGTTAAAATCAAACTAAGTTTAATTTTGGACCCTTTGGACCTTAATGTAAACCAATTTAAAAATCGGGACCCAAAATTAAAAATCTAAAAACACGGTTAGATCAATTTTTGATGAAATCAAACAAAGTTTAATTTTGGACCCTTTTGACCTCAATATGAACCAATTTGATAGCGGGCCCACAAATAAAAATCTAAATACATGGTAAGATTCAGCATATCAAAGAACCCCATATATTCAATTTTTGTTGAAATCAAACAAAGTTTAATTTTGGACCCCAATTTGGACCAACTTGAAAACTGGGCCAAAAATCTAAAATCTAAATACATGTTTAGATTCAGCATATCAAAGAACCCCATATATTCAATTTTTGTTGAAATCAAACAAAGTTTAATTTTGGACCCCAACTTGGACCAACTTGAAAACTGGGCCCATAATCAAAAATCTAAACACATGTTTAGATTCAGCATATCAAAGAACCCCAAAAATTCAATTTTTGTTAAAATCAAACTAAGTTTAATTTTGGACCCTTTGGACCTTAATGTAGACCAGTTTAAAAAACGGGACCCAAAATTAAAAATTTAAATACATGGTTAGATTTGGCATATCAAAGAACCCCAATAATTCAATTTTTGATGAAATCAAACAAAAAAAGTTTAATTTTGGACCCTTTTGACCTCAATATGAACCAATTTGATAGCTGGCCCACAAATAAAAAATCTAAATACATGGTAAGATTCAGCATATCAAAGAACCCCATATATTCAATTTTTGTTGAAATCAAACAAAGTTTAATTTTGGACCCCAACTTGGACCAACTTGAAATCTGGGCCCAGAATCAAAAATCTAAACACATGTTTAGATTCCGCATATCAAAGAACCCCAAGAATTCAATTTTTGTTAAAATCAAACTAAGTTTAATTTTGGACCCTTTGGACCTTAATGTAGACCAATTTAAATAAAATGCTCCGCTGGGGCGCAGCTTGATACGACCGCAGAGGTCGAACCCTGAACAGTTGGGGCAAGTATGGACACAACATTCAAGCTTGATACAGCACTGAATTTGGATTGTAATTAAATATTTGACACAGCATAGGTTTCTGACACAGAATGAAAGTGGTCTAAGAACTTAAAAATTTTCAATTTACCTATTCATACATGTGATGGACTGTGAAACTCAGATCAGGAGATTGGGAAATTTTGGTCAGGAGATTAGGACTCAGATCAGGAGGTTTTTAATCGACATTAATTTTGTTGTAAATGTAACCGTGTGCTGTAAAAATGGTCTTTTAAAGTTTTTTTTACTTCAACTTTCCAACCAATTTATTATGTTTATAGTACCCTTGTACTTATAAAGTTTCTCCATCTTTATATTCTACATGTTCAATCTAACATTGTTTTTTTCCAGTATGTTCTTTAAATTTTTTACTTCATATTCTATAAAACAATCATTGCAACCAGAACATTTGTTTAGCTGTCTGCAAATAGTTTTTATTTTTTTTTTTTTTTCTCTTGCAAATAGTTTTTATTTGCAAACTCAGAAATTCATTCTATCTGTAAAGTTAGGGTCATAGTTATTATATAAATTTCAATTTAAGCCTTAAAAGGAAGTATAGAATCCTCAAATAATTTTCAAATTATTATTTTTTTATTTGTCCTAAGACATTTAAAATCATTTAATAACCATCCTTTTATGATTATTTGTTCAATTTATATTTTATTTATATTCTTTTAAAAATTTTCATTATTAAAAGGAAAGTAACTTAAAACAGGATAAATCAAGGGAAGTAACCCAATAAATACACAGTTTTTGTTACACAACGGCAGTTAGCCTGAGGTAAAAATCGTTGCTTACCAGTATGTTTGACACCCAAGCTGACAAGTGAAGCCATATAATTATGCATGTTAATTGATTTACAGGTAAAATATAACTTCAGGTAATGTCAGTTACACCAGATGCCTGAGATGTTATGTTGGGCAGAAATTTTTCATTCATGAAAAATTTCATACACGGGATTTTTTCAACGGGAGGGGGGGAGGAGACCCCTGAAAACGGGATTATTGTACTCCCGTCGGGAGGTTCACATGTATGCCTATTCAAACCATATCATTATTATTTGCTTTTATATATAAATCAGAAATAACCAATTTAAAATGGAAAATGTTAAAGAAAAAAAAGGAAAAAAAAAATCCCCCCCCCCCAATTTTTTGAACCCCCTTATGATTCATCGCCCCCAAACTCAATCCCAGCTTTCCCTTTGTGGTATGGTACCTTGCAGTACAATTTCAGAGAGATTCATACACTTGAACACAAGTTATTGTCTGGAAACTAGAAAAATGCTTGTTTTTTGGCCCCTTTTTGGCCCCAAATTCCTAAACGTTTAGGGCAATTACCCCCAAACTCAATTCCAGCTTTCCCTTTGTGATATGGACACCTTGCAGTACAATTTCATAAAGATCCATACACTTACACACAAGTTATTGTCCTGAAACTAGAAAAATGCATGTTTTTTTTGCCCTTTTATGGCCCCTAATTACTAAAATTTTGAGGGAAAACCCCCAAAATCAATCCCAGCCTTCCCTTTGTGATATGGAACCTTGTAGTACAATTTCATAAAGATCCATACACTTACAAACAAGTTATTGTCATGAAACTAGAAAAATGCTTGTTTTTTGCCCCTTTTTGGCCCCTAATTCCTAATATTTGGAGGAAATTACCCCGAAAATCAATCCCAGTATTCCCTTTGTGATATGGAACCTTGTAGTACAATTTCATAAAGATCCATACACTTACAAACAAGTTATTGTCATGAAACTAGAAAAATGCTTGTTTTTTGCCCCTTTTTGGCCCCTAATTCCTAAAATTTGGAGACAATTACCCCCAAAATCAATCCCAGCATTCCCTTTGTGATATGGAACCTTGTGGTACAATGTCAGAGAGATCCATACACTTACACACAAGTTATGTGTGGAAGTTACAAAAATGCTTATTTTTGGCCCCTTTTGGCCCCTAATTCCTTAACTGTTAGTACCATAACCCCCAAAATCAATCCCCACCTTCCTTTTGTGGTATTGAACCTTATGGTAAAATTTCAATGAGATCCATTCACTTAAACTAAAGTTAGAGTGCGAAAACTAATGTGTATTCGGACGACGACGACGACGACGACGCCAACGTCATACCAATATACGACCACAAAAATTTTTTTGCGGTCGTATAAAAACAGGACCCAAAATTAAAAATCTAAATACATGGTTAGATTTGGCATATCAAAGAACCCCAATAATTCAATTTTTGATGAAATCAAACAAAGTTTAATTTTGGACCCTTTTGACCTCAATATGAACCAATTTGATAGCGGGGTCCACAAATAAAAAATCTAAATACATGGTTAGATTCAGCATATCAAAGAACCCCATATATTCAATTTTTGTTGAAATCAAACAAAGTTTAATTTTGGACCCCAATTTGGACCAACTTGAAAACTGGGCCAAAAATCAAAAATCTAAATACATGTTTAGATTCAGCATATCAAAGAACCCCATATATTCAATTTTTGTTAAAATCAAACAAAGTTTAATTTTGGACCCTTTGGACCTTAATGTAGACGAATTTGAAAACTGGACCCAAAATTAAAAATCTAAATACACGGTTAGATTCGGCATAACAAATAAATAAATGTGGTCACAGATTTTACAAATCTAATGCGCCATACTGGTCTTCCTTTATAAATATGCATTTCTTTAAACATAATTTAAAAGCAGTGTAAGGGAAGTAACCAAAACGTTGTATTTGGATTACCTCCCTTATACTGTTTCAAATTATCTTAATTGTTCATTAACCATTACTTTATACATAATTTAAAAGCAGTGTAAGGGAGATAATTTCAATGATGTATTTGATTTATCTCCCTTACACTACTTTAAATTATGTTTTGTACTAAAGTATTTGTCCATTAATGAGGACAACCTTGTTTTTCCCCCTTTTTTGCCCCTAATTCTTAAACAGTTAGAAATAACCCCCCAAAGCAAATCCTAACCATCCCTTTGTGGTATGGAAACTTGTAGTATAATTTCAGAGAGATCCATACACCGTTCCACAGTTATTGTCTGGAAACTAGAAAATGCTTATTTTTGGCCCCTAATTCCTTAACTGTTGGTACCATAACCCCCAAAATCAATCCCCACCTTCCTTTTGTGGTATTGAACCTTATGGTAAAATTTCATAGAGATCCATTCACTTAAACTAAAGTTAGAGTGCGAAAACTAATCCGTCTTCGGACGACGACGACGACGCCAACGTCATACCAATATACGACCACAAAATTTTTTTTGCGGTCGTATAAAAATGCTTGTTTTTTTGCCCCTTATTCCTAAACGTTTTGGGCAATTACCCTCAAACTCAATTCCAGCTTTCCCTTTGTGATATGGAACCTTGTGGTACAATGTCAGAGAGATCCATACACTAACACACAAGTTATGTCTTGAAGTTACAAAAATGCTTGTTTATGGTCCCTTTTTGGCCCCTAATTCCTTAACTGTTGGTACCATAACCCCCAAAATCAATCCCAACCTTCCTTTTGTGGTATTGAACCTTGTGATAAAATTTCATAGAGAGCCATTCACTTAATCTAAAGTTAGAGTGCGAAAACCAATGTGTCTTCAGAAAACGAAAAAGCTGAATTTTTCCATTTTTAAAGGGGCATAACTCTAGAACAACAATAGTGACACCACCAAAATTCAAACTTGATCTGTGTTTTGTGGTAATAAGCATTGTGTATAAGTTTCATAACATTTGGTTGAGGCAAACTTAAGTAAGAGATCTGAAACGGAAAATTCAGCAATTTTTCCATTTGTAAACAGGCATAACTCTAGAACTGTTAAAGTGACACCACCAAAATTCAAACTTGATCTGTTTTTTGTGGTAATAAGCATTGTGTATAAGTTTCATAACATTTGGTTGAGGCAAATTAAAAGTTAGAGAACGGAAACTAATTTTGGGACATACGACGTAAAGACGGACAAGGGTAAACATTAAAGAGGAATAGCTCTATTACTCTATTAAGAGATAACTAAAAATTTCAGTCATGTTGAGTCAAGACATATCTTGCTGATATTTTCCTTCTTAAAGTTTCTATTTATCTATTATAGTTTTCAAGATAATAGGCAAAAAGTACAAAAATGTTAAAAATGATCATCAAAGGACAATAACTCCAACAAGTCAGTCGACTGCAAATTTCTGACATTTTGGCTTATTTGTGGATCTTGTCTTGCTATATAAAGTTTCTATCTATCTATTACCGTTTTCAAGATATTATTAGGCAAAAATTGGAAAAATTATCATTAAAGGGCAATAATTCCAATAATGAGTCTACTTAAGATTTCAGCCATTAGGCTCATTTGTAGATCTTGTCTTGCTGATCATTTTTGCTATTTACAGTTTCTACCTACCACATATAGTTTTTAAGATATTTAGCTAAAATACATAAAAATTGGTAAAAATTTCATTGTAGGGCAATTACTCTAAAAAGGAGTCGACTGAAGATTTAAGCCATGTAGACTTATTTGTTGATCTTGTCTTGCTGATCAGTTTTGCTATATAATGTTTCTGTCTATCATTATAATTTTCGAGATAATAGGCAAAAATTTTCAAAAATGGTAAAATTCATCTTTTAAGGGTAATAACTGCTATACAGTGTTCAAGCTAGGATTTCAAAAGGGCAGGGAGTCAATCATGAAAAGGGCACTTTAGCACGATGATTGATATTTCAAAACTAGAGGCTCTAAAGAGCCTGTGTTGCTCACCTTGGTCTATGTGCATATTAAACAAAGGACACAGATGGATTCATGACACAATTGTGTTTTGGTGATGATGTGTTTGTAGATCTTACTTTACTGAACATTCTTGCTCCTTACTATTATCTCTACCTAAAATGAACTTGGCCTGGTAGTTACAGTGGAAAATATTTTGTAAAAATTTACAAAAATTTACAAAATTTATGAAAATTGTAAAAAATTTACTATAATGGGCAATAACTCCTTAAGGGGTCAATTGACAATTTTGGTCATTTGACTTATTTGTAGATCTAACTTTGCTGTACATTATTGCTGTTTACAGTTTATCTCTATCTATAATAAAATGCTTCGCTGGGCGCAGCTTGATACGACCGCAGAGGTCGAACCCTGAACAGTTGGGGCAAGTAAGGACACAACATTCAAGCTTGATACAGATCTGAATTTGGATTGTGATTAAATATTTGACACAGCATAGGTTTCTGACACAGAAAGAATGTGGTCTAAGAACTTCAATTTTTTTAATTTACCTATTATGGTCCAATATCCAAAATCAAAATACATGGTTAGATTCAGCATATCAAAGAACCCCATATATTCAATTTTTGTTGAAATCAAACAAAGTTTAATTTTGGACCCCAACTTGGACAAACTTGAAAACTGGTCCCATAATCAAAAATCTAAACACATGTTTAGATTCAGCATATCAAAGTACCCCAAGAATTCAATTTTTGTTAAAATCAAACTAAGTTTAATTTTGGACCCTTTGGACCTTAATGTAGACCAATTTAAAAATGGGACCCAAAATTAAAAATCTAAAAACACGGTTAGATTTGGCATATCAAAGAACCCCAAGAATTCAATTTTTGATGAAATCAAACAAAGTTTAATTTTGGACCCTTTTGACCTCAATATGAACCAATTTGATAGCGGGCCCACAAATAAAAAATCTAAATACATGGTAAGATTCAGCATATCAAAGAACCCCATATATTCAATTTTTGTTGAAATCAAACAAAGTTTAATTTTGGACCCCAATTTGGACCAACTTGAAAACTGGGCCAAAAATCTAAAATCTAAATACATGTTTAGATTCAGCATATCAAAGAACCCCATATATTCAATTTTTGTTGAAATCAAACAAAGTTTAATTTTGGACCCCAACTTGGACCAACTTGAAAACTGGGCCCATTATCAAAAATCTAAACACATGTTTAGATTCAGCATATCAAAGAACCCCAAGAATTCAATTTTTGTTAAAATCAAACTAAGTTTAATTTTGGACCCTTTTGACCTCAATGTGGACAAAGTTGATAACGGGGCCCAAAAATCAAAAATCTAAATACATGGTTAGATTCAGCATATCAAAGAACCCCATATATTCAATTTTGTTGAAATCAAACAAAGTTTAATTTTGGACCCTTTTGACCTCAATATGAACCAATTTGATAGTGGGGTCCACAAATAAAAAATCTAAATACATGGTTAGATTCAGCATATCAAAGAACCCCATATATTCAATTTTTGTTGAAATCAAACAAAGTTTAATTTTGGACCCCAATTTGGACCAACTTGAAAACTGGGCCAAAAATCAAAAATCTAAATACATTTTTAGATTCAGCATATCAAAGAACCCCAAGAATTCAATTTTTGTTAAAATCAAACTAAGTTTAATTTTGGACCCTTTTGACCTCAATGTGAACAAAGTTGATAACGGGGCCCAAAAATCAAAAATCTAAATACATGGTTAGATTCAGCATATCAAAGAACCCCATATATTCAATTTTTGATGAAATCAAACAAAGTTTAATTTTGGACCCTTTTGACCTCAATATGAACCAATTTGATAGCGGGCCCACAAATAAAAAATCTAAATACATGGTAAGATTCAGCATATTAAAGAACCCCATATATTCAATTTTTGTTGAAATCAAACTAAGTTTAATTTTGGACCCTTTTGACCTCAATGTGGACAAAGTTGATAACGGGGCCCAAAAATCAAAAATCTAAATACATGGTTAGATTCAGCATATCAAAGAACCCCAAGAATTCAATTTTTGATGAAATCAAACAAAGTTAAATTTTGGACCCTTTTGACCTCAATATGAACCAATTTGATAGCGGGCCCACAAATAAAAAATCTAAATACATGGTAAGATTCAGCATATCAAAGAACCCCATATATTCAATTTTTGTTGAAATCAAACAAAGTTTAATTTTGGACCCCAATTTGGACCAACTTGAAAACTGGGCCAAAAATCTAAAATCTAAATACATGTTTAGATTCAGCATATCAAAGAACCCCATATATTCAATTTTTGTTGAAATCAAACAAAGTTTAATTTTGGACCCCAACTTGGACCAACTTGAAAACTGGGCCCATTATCAAAAATCTAAACACATGTTTAGATTCAGCATATCAAAGAACCCCAAGAATTCAATTTTTGTTAAAATCAAACTAAGTTTAATTTTGGACCCTTTTGACCTCAATGTGGACAAAGTTGATAACGGGGCCCAAAAATCAAAAATCTAAATACATGGTTTAGATTCAGCATATCAAAGAACCCCATATATTCAATTTTTGTTAAAATCAAACAAAGTTTAATTTTGGACCCTTTGGACCTTAATGTAGACCAATTTGAAAACTGGACCCAAAAGTAAAAATCTAAATACACGGTTAGATTCAGCATAACAAATAAATAAATGTGATCAAAGATTTTACAAATCTAATGCGCCATACTGTCCAATTAAAGATTACTTCTTGAAATTTTTCAATATTTGAAATTTGAAAAAAAAAAAATATTTGAAGAATAATTCTTTTTAATGGAGTTTGCAACCATAATTACCCATTTAAATTTACCATAGTGCTAACTTAATCTATTTTATAATAGAATTTAAAATATAGTGTCAAATCTTTCATATGGATTTTGTTGTAAAAAAAAAAGATGCAACATTTGCAGATATTTTTACTGGTCATCCTTTATAAATATGCATTTCTTTAGACATAATTTAAAAGCAGTGTAAGGGAAGTAACCAAAACGTTGAATTTGGATTACCTCCCTTACACTGTTTTAAATTATCTTAATTGTTCAATAACCATTACTTTATACATAATTTAAAAGCAGTGTAAGGGAGATAATTTCAATGATGTATTTGATTTATCTCCCTTACACTGCTTTAAATTATGTTTTGTATTAAAGTATTTGTCCATTAACCAGGACAACCTTGTTTTTCCCCCTTTTTTGCCCCTAATTCTTAAACGGTTTGAGCCATAACCCCCCAAAGCAAATCCTAACCATCCCTTTGTGGTATGGAAACTTGTAGTATAATTTCAGAGAGATCCATACACCGTTCCACCGTTATTGTCTGGAAACTAGAAAATGCTTATTTTTGGCCCCTTTTTGGCCCCTAATTCCTTAACTGTTGGTACCATAACCCCCAAAATCAATCCCCACCTTCCTTTTGTGGTATTGAACCTTATGGTAAAATTTCATAGAGATCCATTCACTTAAACTAAAGTTAGAGTGCGAAAACTAATGCGTCTTCGGACGACGCCGCCGGACGACGCCAACGTCATACCAATATACGACCACAAAAATTTGTTTGCGGTCGTATAATAATATTCAAGATAATAACCAAAAGCTACAAAATTTCCTTAAAATTACCAATTCAGGGGCAGCAACCCAACAACATGTTGCCTGATTGGTCTGAAAATTTCAGGGCAGATAGATCTTGACCAAATGAACAATTGTATCCCCATCAGATTTGCTCTAAATGCTTTGGTTTCAGAGATATGAGCCAAAAACTGCATTTTACCCTATGTACTATTTTTTAGCCATGTCGGCCATCTTGGTTCACGGGCGGGGTCATCGGACACATTTTTAAAACTTAATACCCTTATGATGATTGTGGACAAGTTAAATTTGTCTAAGTAGTTTCAGAGGAGAAGATTTTTGTAAAAGATTACAAAAATTTACGAAAAATGGTTAAAAATTGACTATAAAGGGCAATAACTCCTTAAGGGGTCAACTGACCATTTTGGTCAAGTTGACTTATTTGTAGATCTTACTTTGCTGAACATTATTGCTGTTTACAGTTTATCTCTATCTATAATAATATTCAAGATAATAACCAATAAAATGCTCCGCAGGGCGCAGCTTGATACGACCGCAGAGGTCGAACCCTGAACAGTTGGGGCAAGTATGGACACAACATTCAAGCTTGATACAGCTCTGAATTTGGATTGTGATTAAATATTTGACACAGCATAGGTTTCTGACACAGAATGAATGTGGTCTAAGAACTTAAAAATTTTAAATTGGACATTCACCTATTATGGTCCAATATCCAAAATCTAAATACATGGTTAGATTCAGCATATCAAAGAACCCCAAGAATTCAATTTTTGATGAAATCAAACAAAGTTTAATTTTGGACCCTTTTGATCTCAATGTGGACAAAAATGATAACAGGGCCCAAAAATCAAAAATCTAAATACATGGTTAGATTCAGCATATCAAAGAACCCCATATATTCAATTTTTGTTGAAATCAAACAAAGTTTAATTTTGGACCCCGATTTGGACCAACTTGAAAACTGGGCCCATAATCAAAAATCTAAATACATGTTTAGATTCAGCATATCAAAGAACCCTAAAAATTCAATTTTTGTTAAAATCAAACTAAGTTTTATTTTGGACCCTTTGGACCTTTATGTAGACCAATTTGAAAACGGAACCAAAAATTAAGAATCTAAATACACGGTTAGATTCGGCATATCAAAGAACCCCAATAATTCAATTTTTGATGAAATCAAACAAAGTTAAATTTTGGACCATTTGGACTTCAATGTAGACCAATTTAAAAACGGGGCCCAAAATCCAAAAACTTAATACACGGTTAGATTCAGCATATTACAGAACCCCATATATTCAATTTTTGTTGAAATCAAACAAAGTTTAATTTTGGACCCCGATTTGGACCAACTTGAAAACTGGGCCCATAATCAAAAATCTAAATACATGGTTAGATTCAGCATATCAAAGAACCCCATATATTCAATTTTTGTTGAAATCAAACAAAGTTTAATTTTGGACCCCGATTTGGACCAACTTGAAAACTGGGCCCATAATCAAAAATCTAAATACATGGTTAGATTCAGCATATCAAAGAACCCCATATATTCAATTTTTGTTGAAATCAAACAAAGTTTAATTTTGGACCCCGATTTGGACCAACTTGAAAACTGGGCCCATAATCAAAAATCTAAATACATGGTTAGATTCAGCATATCAAAGAACCCCATATATTCAATTTTTGATGAAATCAAACAAAGTTTAATTTTGGACCCTTTTGATCTCAATGTGGACAAAGTTGATAACGGGGCCCAACAATCAAAAATCTAAATACATGGTTAGATTCAGCATATCAAAGAACCCCATATATTCAATTTTTGTTGAAATCAAACAAAGTTTAATTTTGGACCCCGATTTGGACCAACTTGAAAACTGGGCCCATAATCAAAAATCTAAATACATGGTTAGATTCAGCATATCAAAGAACCCCATATATTCAATTTTTGTTGAAATCAAACAAAGTTTAATTTTGGACCTTGATTTAGACCAACTTGAAAACTGGGCCCATAATCAAAAATCTAAATACATGGTTAGATTCAGCATATCAAAGAACCCCATATATTCAATTTTTGTTGAAATCAAACTAAGTTTAATTTTGGACCCTTTGGACCTTTATGTAGACCAATTTGAAAACAGAACCAAAAATTAAGAATCTAAATACACGGTTAGATTCGGCATATCAAAGAACCCCAATAATTCAATTTTTGATGAAATCAAACAAAGTTAAATTTTGGACCCTTTGGACCTCAATGTGGACCAATTTAAAAACGGGGCCCAAAATCCAAAAACTTAATACACGGTTAGATTCAGCATATTAAAGAACCCCAAGAATTCAAGAATAAAACCCCATTGAAATTGATCAAGAAATAAGCAATTTATACGAAGTATCTTCTTTTGCACAATACTGAGCAATTGATTATTTCTTGCTATTGCGCAATACTGTACAATTGACAATTTCTTGCTATTGCGCAATATTGTGCTATTGGATATTTCTTGCTATTGCGCAATACTGTGCAATTGAAGATTTCTTGCTATTGCGCAATACTGTGCAATTGAAGATTTCTTGCTATTGTGCAATACTGTGCAATTGAAAATTTCTTGCTATTGCACAATACTTATTATATAATAATTTACACATCCTGTTTGGTGTGTATCTCCTACCATATCATTATTATTTGCTTTTAAATATAAATCAGAAATAACCAACTTAAAATGGAAAATTCTAAAAGAAAAAAAAAAAGGAAAAAAAGAAAAAAAAAAGAAAAAAAAAATCCCCCCCCAAAATTTTTTGAACCCCCTTATGATTCATCACCCCCAAACTCAATCTCAGCCTTCCCTTTGTGGTATGGTACCTTGCAGTACAATTTCAGAGAGATCCATACACTTGAACACAAGTTATTGTCTGGAAACTAGAAAAATGCTTATTTTTGGCCCCTTTTTGGCCCCCAATTCCTAAACATTTCGGGCAATTACCCCCAAACTCAATTCCAGCTTTCCCTTTGTGATATGGAACCTTGTAGTACAATTTCAGAAATATCCAAACACTTACACACAAGTTATTGTCATGAAACTAGAAAAATGCTTGTTTTTTGCCCCTTTTTTGGCCCCTAATTCCTAACATTTTGAGGCAATTACCCCCAAAATCAATTACAGCCTTCCCTTTGTGATATGGAACCTTGTGGTACAATGTCAGAGAGATCCATACACTTACACACAAGTTATTGTCTGGAAGTTACAAAAATGCTTATTGTTGGCCCCTTTTTGGCCCCTAATTCCTTAACTGTTGGTACCATAACCCCCAAAATCAATCCCAACCTTCCTTTCATGGTATTGAACCTTATGGTAAAATTTCATGGAGATCCATTCACTTAAACTAAAGTTAGAGTGCGAAAACCAATGTGTCTTCGGACGACGCCAGACGACGCCGGACGACGACGACGACGACAACGACGACGACGACGACGACGACGACGACGACGCCAACGTCATACCAATATACGACCAAAAAATTTTCAATTTTTGCGGTCGTATAAAAACAGCAAAATTTCCTTAAAATTACCAATTCAGGGGCAGCAATCCAACAACGGGTTGTCCGATTCATCTGAAAATTTCAGGGCAGATAGATCTTGACCTGATAAACAATTTTACCCCAAGTCAGATTTGCTCTATATGCTTTGGTTTCAGAGATATAAGCCAAAATCTACATTTTACCCCTATGTTCTATTTTTAGCCACGGTGGCCATCTTGGTTGGTTGGCCGGGTCATCGGACACATTTTTTAAACTAAATACCCCAATGATGATTGTGGCCAAGTTTGTTCAAATTTGGCCCAGTAGTTTCAGAGGAGAAGATTTTTGTAAAAGTTAACGATGACGGACGACGGACGCCAAGTGATGAGAAAAGCTCACTTGGCCCTTTGGGCCAGGTGAGCTAAAAAGGGCATGTCAAACATTGTCTTATGTTAACTGCAGGGGTTTCAGCTAGGAGTTTTGAGGGGGGTTTAGTCACTTTAACGCTAGATGAAAATCAACCTTATTTTGGGTAACAGTATTAAAGGGACTATGCAAGGACGTATATTACAAGCTCAGTCTTCCCTAGAACATTTTTGATGCATGGTAGGTCTAAGGTTAAGTTGCAATGCAGAGCGCAGCGGCGTTTTGTAGAATTATTTTTATTTCA